AAAAAAAAAAAAAAAAAAAAAAAAAAAAAAAAAAAAAAAAGACAAATGGGTCGGTTTACTTGCACGAGGAACATATCAGAATTGATTCGATGCTCAGCGGTCGGCCAAGAGAGGCTCTCGTCCGCGGAATCTCCGGCGACTCCGCATCCCCCGCGTGCGATATCGGTGCAAAATCTTATCAGATCATCTTATCGATCATCAGCCTTCCTCTCCGCCTCGTCTTCTTACCCGCTTTGCAGATTTGCAGATGTTTTGCGAAAGGCAAGTCGTAAGAGCACAAGGACTCTTTGGCTTTTAGTCATCCCCCTTTTTTTGGCTCTTGAACTCTCGTTTTGTCTCGCCATGGCGCTTCTCTCGGACAAGTTCCGCATGTACGCGAAGCTCCTCCGCTTCCTCCTTCCCATGCTCAGCCACCGCTTCTTGCAAAAGGTGGGCGCAACCATTCATCGCCTTACCTACACGGCTGCGCCGGATGCGAAGAACGTCGTTGTCGTCGGGGGAAGCTTCGCCGGCTTCTTTGTGGCTCAGCAGCTCGTGACGAGTCTGCCGACCGGGTACAGGGTCGTGCTCGTCGAGAGAAACGAGCACATGCACTACGTCTTCAATTTCCCTCGCTTCTCTGTCATGAAGGGCAAGGAGCGGACCGCGTTCATCCCCTACACGGGGCTGGAGAACATGGCCACGCCCGGGGCGTACGAGAGAAAGCACGCGACGGCCGAAAGGCTCGAGAGGAACAAGCTTTTGCTGTCCGGCGGCGAGGAGATCGAGTTCGCCTATTGCGTCGTCGCCACCGGGGCGAAGCAGCCGTTTCCGGCGCGGCTCGACGTCACCGGCACAGACGCGGCGTGCGAACAGTTGAAAAGAGCGCAGAGCTCGATAAAGAGGGCCGGCAAGATCGCCGTGGTGGGTGCGGGAGCCGTTGGCGTGGAGATGGGGTAAGTCTGCTTCCGAACCTCGCACTGAATCCTGCCTGACAGTTGCATAGTAAGTGGCATTCCTTGCAGGGGTCGAGCACAAATGTCAATGTCGTCGTCGTCGTTGTCATCGTCGCCGACGAAGGAGATTCGAGCTTGATTCAGATGAACGACGTCGGAAAAGAAGAGCGTTTGCTTGGCATTTTTCTGGGAGATGTGATCAGGAGGCCTGCTAATGATAGAAACGACATGCAGCTACCGATATCAAGGCTTATTACCCAGAGAAAACGGTGACCCTGGTGAGCTCGCGAGATTGTTTGCTGCCGGGATTCGGCGTCAAGCTGAGGGAACACGCGTCACAAGCGACTCGACGGCTTGGTATCGAGGTGATTCTGAATGCTAGACCGGAGATCTGCGAGCCGAGCCAATACGGTGGCATGCAGCAGCTCGTGTTCAAGGACGGAAGGACTGAGTGCTTTGACTTGGTAGTAAGTTTTTACAGCCTGGGACCAATACAAGAAATTTCGCTGATTGTACATCAGATTCCTTGCACAGGACAGTCACCTAACGCATCCATTGTCTCGAACGTTTCCCCGCGTTCAATCTCCAGCAAGACTGGCCGAATCTTGGTCACACCAAGCCTTCAACTTGCAGATCCCGAGATGCCTCATGTGTTTGCTTTAGGCGACGTTGCAGACAGCGGCGGGCCGAGAATGGGGCGCGCAGCCTTCTGTCAGGCACGTGTCGTAGCTCAAAACATCGTCGCCTCGATCAAAGGCGGCGCGCTCAGGGCGTACAGGCCCGAGGTTGTCGTCGAAGGTCTTATCAAACTCACCCTGGGAAAGGTACGTGTACATGCCCGACTCTTTGTGGACGATTTTCTCACAGACAGATTAAGACCGAGTACGTCGTAGACACGTGCGATGCGGATGGAAACGAGCTACTTTATTCCGCATCGGATGGGAGTGAGGACCTGGACATTGCCCGAGCATGGGAATTGTACGGTGTGCACTGCGACGCAGAGGCACTCGCAGAGAAACGACGGTCGTAATATTCGAGACATAGTGATCGTACCATTCTCTTCGATTCTAAGTTGCTGCTGGTGTCCCGAGGAGCACCTGGATACGTATTCAACCGCCTGGCAGAGTCATTTCCAATTTAGCTTTAAGAATCTCCTACAAGTGCTAGACTTATATATTTCTTATTATGTGGATTGTCCAGTTGTATAATTCCATTGGGTTTAAGTTATATATATATATATATATAAATTCAGGAAATATAAATCAAGATCGGCTTGAATCAAAGGTACGCGTACCTGTGCCATTCCTTGCAACTCTGTGTCGTGGCTTCGTTACGGCAGTGTCAGCATCAAAGTCTCTCTGCATTTGTAATCACCCGTGCCCTTAAAAATAGGCATACAACAGGCTACCGGTTTGATGATCAAAGTTCTCCCAAATCGACATTCGTAGATTTAGAAAGCGCTCGAAGCCCGCGTCTTCGGCATGTGTGCGTATCCGATCCCGTGCGGAATCGTGTCCGCACGATTTTTAATCCACGCTTTGTCAACACGGCAACATTAGTGTTATCCGCACGACGAGGAGGATTGATGGAAGATGCTTCCCTATAACCTTGCTCGCGCGTACGCCAGAGATCTAGTATGCAGATAAGCAGGCTGGCCGCGGCATCGACATTCACACTGCCACTTTTTTGGGCCACGAAACTTGCAGCGACTAGTTCTTGGTCAGCGGCTCCGATCGTGCAAAACTCACAACAACCTTTCCTCTTTGCTCCCAACATGACGCGTGGAGCGGTGATTTCTCTGTCACATGGAGGAGGTCCTATGCCTGTGTTGGGCGACCCGGCACACAAAGAGATCATCAGGTCTCTGAAGACCCGCGTGCCGGAGATCTTGCGGCTCAACACAGATGAGCAACCACGGGCCATTGTGATCGTGACGGCGCATTGGTCCGAAAGGCGACCCACCATATCCAACGGGATCAAGCACAAGTTGTACTACGACTATGGCGGATTTCCGCCAGAGTCCTACAGGTTGAAGTACGACGCAATGGGAAGTCCCGACGTTGCAAAGGAGATTGGAGACGCGCTGTCGAGCGCAGGATTTGAGCCAGTGTTCGACTCCGAAAGAGGTATTTGGTCTCTCATTCTACATGAACGTATCCGAATGTAGCTGCTTACGGTCATCAGGCTGGGATCATGGCGTCTTCATCCCCATGTTGCTCATCAACCCCAGCGCCAACGTTCCCATCGTCCAGATGTCGGTGCTCTCGTCGGAAGACGCGTCCGAGCATTACAGGATGGGACAGGCGCTGTCGAAGCTCCGCGACTCGAACGTGGCCATCATCGGCTCGGGTTTTGCTTCCTTCCACAATCTGCGGCTCATGTTCAGCGGCATCTCTTCCGACCCGGCCTTTCAGGCGCGCAACGCCGCCTGGAACAAGGCCATCACCGAAGCCGTCTCCGAACCGGATGTCGAGAAGCGCGGCGAACTGCTGAGTAAGTGGAGGGACTTTCCTGGCGCCTTCGAGATGCACCCGTTACACGGCGCAGAGCACTTCCTGCCTCTCATCGTATGCGCGGGAGCAGGAGGCGCGGGCGAGCCTGGAAAGTATACGGACGAGTTCATTGGGCTGGACATGTACAGTTACTACTGGCGCTAAACACATTAATTTTGGTTCCCTTTCGAATGTCGTACCTGCGTGTTCCAAGCTTTTTGACAAGATAGATCCTTGCCGATCTAGTGCCAAAGACTTCAAAGACTTGAAGAGTTTTCAAATTTTTTTGAGCCGAGATTTTTTTCCACTTCCTCGTCATATTTATGTATTTTTTGCCACGAGGCGCAAGGAAAACAACACGTCTACGTTTTGTGGCTACGTTATTGCCGTTCTGTTCCTTTCTTAAGTAATTTCTTACCGGTATCTCGCTTCTCGCCCCGTGAGTTACGCTTACAATCTCAAGGGCAGCCATCCTATCCACTTGGACTCGGTAGAATTGGAGTTCCCCCCCTTATGATGGGATTTTGAGTGGGTCCTTCAGGGCTGGATACGCACCAGCCATGGCTGTCGCGTAAGCAATGCACGACATTTCGTAACTAGATTAGACAAGCTCATGCATTGATCTTTGTCATCCTTGAGGCTCCAAAAGTCTGATGTAGCACCGGGTAGCCGTGCATAAGTTCCGTGAGCATCGTCTGTTCTCAGATTGCTGTACAGACGTATGCTTCGGTGCCGAAATAGCCAAGCACCCTCCCTCCCGCTCTCACTCGCTCCGTTGAAAAGGACAAGGACTCACGATAACACACACTCATCTCGAAGCGCTGCACGCGCGGTTTTGCACTCGAAAAACAAGAAATCTCATGCAAAGTGCAAGCGGTGAACGTTCAAACTTCTGGATTGGTAAAGACAAGTATGCCAGGTTCACGTCTGTCATGTTCAACAAGGCAAAGCTAATTCTGGTCTGTAGGCGTTCGATTCTGTTCAGACAGCCGTATTCAAGAAACATTTCGCGCATCGGAAGGTTGCCAGACTGTTGTAGGATCGTCCTCAGCGCCCCAGCAGCTCCTACTTCTGCTGCTACTACTACTACTACTACTGCTGCTGCTGCTGCTGCTGCTGCTGCTGCTGCTTCCTATCCCATGATTTTCCAATCTCAATTTCCAAATCTTAGGAAGTAAAAGATCATGGGAACTTTGAGTTTGTTAAGATTGCGCTCTCTTCAGTCTCTCACTATTTCTCTACCTCGGAGGGTTAATCAGAGTTTGAACGGCGTCTGGAATATGCTTGCACTATAATAAATTACACCAAATTGACTAACTTACCGTAGCTTAAGTTGACCTGTTGACTTATTCAGCTAGTCCTTGCTCACGTAATCAGGACCTTTCCGCATTCAAAGTAACCCAGCAAGACTCAATCCTACGGTCACGCAAAGGTGATCAGTCAGCGGAGACAATTGCCATCCTGCGTAAGCTTGTCTGTCGTTGCTGTTCGATCTTGAGAATTAGCAACCTAAATAGTGCCAGAAGAGTAGTGAAGGGAAGAAGCCAAGAAGTCTTGTTCTGCCGTCCATTTCTTCGTCTATTCCTCCGCGCACGCACACACGGGATTGATGATCAATTCGCCGAAGGGCAGAAACTCAACCTATCCGCATTCGGTGCAGCCCGGACGGCCCTCCCGCGCTCTCAGGGTGTCGACTTCGCACTCGTCCTGCACTAGAGCATGCTCTCTCCGCTGTTCGAGCCATACTGGCTCGGAGAGCAAGGTTTTGCAGTCGCTGTCTCTGCCTTCGTTCAACCACTCCGCCTTGGCTGATGAAAATCACGCCTTTGGCGAGGCTTGGCACTTTCTTCACGCATCACAACCTCAAGTGCTTCGTCTGCACCAACAGCCGCAGAATTTGGCCATCCTTACGGACCCGCCGACCATTGTGGATACACAGACTGTTGACTTGGGGCAATTGCCAGGTTACGGGTTTCCTCCGGGAGGGCCATTGGTGCTGCGTTCGCCGAGTCCATCCCGCGCGCAGACCGGAGGTGGATTTGGTAAATATTTCGAGCCTCAAGGCGAGCTTCAGATCCAGCTTCAAACGCACTCGTTGTCCCAACACGATTTTGTAAACCCCGTGCCAATCTCTGCAAGGAGCGTGAGCATTCAAGGTGGCCAGAAAGAGGTGGTTAGCGGGGCCGCTCCTGACAACAGTGTCGTCATTACAAAGCGTTCAAAGACTTACGCCGATCTTTCGACCAGTACTCAAGAAATGTCAACAATGAGCACGAGAGCAGGGCAGAAAAGGAAAGCGGATTTGCAATCGAGGGAAGGAGTCGATTCTGGCTTGACATCGGTCTCGGGATCTTCGTCTGTGGCACCAGAGCATAACGTCCAGCATAAGTCCGAGATGTCGTTCGGAACGACAGAGGCAGGCTCGACTCGGGCAGTGAAGAGGCGGACAATGCAATTCAAGCATGATTCGGAAGCTGACGACGATGGCGATGAAGCGGAGGAAGAGGACGAGGCAAGGCCAATAAGCACGGCGTTATTTGCGCCTGGCCCAGGACAAGTGCAGAGTTCGTCAGCGCCGACGGCGAGAACGTCGGTTCCAAAGATCGAACAGTCAGACTCTCATGAGACACGAAGAATAGCAGAGGTTGCCCATCATTTCACAACGACGTTACCGGCGGGAAAGGTTTTCCCAATCCAGATCGGCTCAGAATTGTTTCGTTTGTCGGGTGCATCCATCTCTTCTGATTGTAGGTTTGTTCCTTTCTCTCATTCTTGCTGCGCTTCCGTCTTTGCCTCTTGCCTACACGCTTGTTCTGGATAGTCGCACATCCTGCCGTGTCTATCCGATGTTAGTCTCTATCCATCCTTCACCGATCTCATCACCGCCGCCACCAATACTATTTCTTCGTCCTTCTTCTCACTAAATGCCATTTCCGTTGTCATTTTTTCTCCAATGACCATGCATCGTGTAGAAACTTGTTTGAAGATGAGAAACAGACACCACTAACGCACTTTCCTCCTCAGCGCCTTCTTATTTCTCCCACTACTTCGGCGAACAGTTGATACAAACCGGCGGACGGGCTAGCCAGGTTAAAACTTTGTACATTGACCGAGATCCTAAAACCTTCAGCGACATCGCCTTGCATTTGCAGGGCTACTATGTGAAGCCACGTGACGAGGAACATTTTGTGCGGCTGTTCGCCGATGCACAGTTCTACTCATGTAGGTTTTCGATCCTTTACCTGCAAGTTGACTTCCCGTAAATATCTAACATCGTGCGTGTCTAAACAGTACCACGCCTGACCCAACAACTTTTCAAATCCGAAATCTTTGTTCAAGTGGGTGATCGACACTTCCAAATCCCCCGCGACCTGTTCTCCTCCCCAGGCGATAGCCCGAACTTCTTCTCTCTTGGATTTGCACACTTTTTTACTACTCCCTCGGAAGTTTTCCCCGGTCTGGATCGCCAGATGCTGCTCAGACCGCCTTCAATCTTGCCACCATCTGTTGCTAACCGATCGGGAGACGTCTTTGCAGATTTACTACGTATTCTGCAGGGTTACGACGTCAAGATTCGAGATGAAAGCCACCGCGCCGAACTACTCCGAGACGCCCGCTACTTTCATCTGAAGGGAGTCGAACAACGACTGATTCCTTGCAAAATATCACACAACGTACTACGCGGTCGTAGTGAGATCGTGGTACGTCTCGAAGATATTCGCCAATCTGGTGTAGGCTTCCTTCAGAAAGGGAAAATGCCATCATCGTGCCCCAAATTCCCCATGATGCAACAACCGGACGAGTTAGGTTCTGAAGTCGACAAAGAAGACTCAGTTCCCATTGGCTGGGTGACATACCAGCGCCCCTACGTGGACGATGCGGCTCATTATCTTGTTGTCGAGCTATCATCAGAAGAATCGACGCGTCTCGACATGGCTTCCATGCGAGCCTCTTTTTATGGTCAAACCAAGGCTCGGGTTGCCAGCCTGTTCGGTGTGGTAGCAACGAAACTAAATCTTCCTGCCATGGTACCCTTAGGGTTTATGATGATGCAATCTGGTGGAGGCATCGCAGCACAGCCTGTCAGCCCTGCCAACTCTGGAGTAAGTGGTGATCGTGTCCGCTTCAGCGTTGATCGTGATGCCTTTGTTGTCCTTGATGGTGATGAGGTAGAGTGGGATGACAATGACGAGAATATGGCAGAGACGTGTGCTTTATCAAAGTTACCCAAGGTGCAAAAGTGGAAACGAGAAAGAGCGCTAAACAAAGAGATGGAATGGCATATTCAAAGGGGGCAGTGGCGGCTACGTGTTGGACCAAGTCAAGATCTCGAGGCCGGCCAGAGCAAAGTTGAGGTCGTGCTCTGCGCAGTGCGCCTTGAAGGGTATACGAGAGAGATGTATCGCAACAGGGCAAGAGATTTCTTGGTGTGAAAAAACGTGACTTTTCAACACACAGATGAGGTTGGGGAGGGGGTGAGGAGTTACAGATACGCCATTGGATATGCTTCATTGACGACCGGAGCTGTGTTTGCATTTGGAAGCGTATCGGATACCAAAATAAGAGAGCGCAGTGGCTGCTCAATTTAGAAAATGGACTGAATGAGAAATAGTAGATACCATGTTCATTGACTGAGGAACCTGAGACTTTTTGCGTGAGAATTTTAGATTTACAAAAAGGACATATCCAAAACCAATATGTTCTCAACAGGAAAGCTCTCAAAATAATATGCATTTCCTTTCTGAAACTAGGTGGCCTTCAGGCTCACGTAAACAATACACAATCCTAGTAATGGATCTCAATGATAGCGTGGTTTCGTCTGATTCTACTTACCTAATCGACCCTTTCGATTTAATTTTGTGCGTTGAGCTCGATGTTACCACATGCAATCTACTGGAAATCGCAGACGTCGTGGCTTTCGGAGAACGACGGGACTAATCCGAGATTTTACTAGACAAAATCTGCTCCATAGCCTACCCCTCTCAATAGCGGTATTATCTTCCTCAGACGCTGCAAGATCTAGCCCAATTTTGATTGCCCTTTCTACTGCACTATTCGTGCCGCGCTCGGAAATCAAGCAGTCGAAAATACACACCACATACGGCTGTGCATATGCCCATGTTGGAGACTTGAGCAGCTAATATCTCTCGCGCGCGTACAAGCGTGGATTCTTCCTCGTTGAAGCATTGCTTCATGACCACTATTAATGATAGGGTCACCCTATAACTTACGATATGAACGCCGTTCCGCAGTTTGGTGACCATAACACATGATGCTGTACAGCCCTTGATCTTGGCGTCTGACATCGAAGATAGAGTGCAATTCTTTCGGCCTTTTTTGCTACCTAGACCGTGAAGTAGGCAGTCGCAAAGTTGTAGACATAGTTGCGACTACTTTCTTCATAGCACGGAAAGGAGTACTCTCATCTCGATCGAAACTCCTCTCGTGGACAAGCAGCAAATATAATCTAGGCTAACATTACATTTTGCATTTCGCTCAGTGGAAGTCATTCTTTTCCGCATTAATGTCATTTTCGAGGAACACGTTTGTCTTGTTGTTCATCTTAGGACCGATGTCCTCGCAGAGCAAACACAACACCAGTCCGAATCCTCCAAACCCGAGAGATGCCAAGGCCATCATCTTTAGTCCGTACGCATAGCTTTCCATGAATGCTACGCTCGCTGCGGCAATGGCGTTCGGGTTGATACCAGGCACTGCAGCGATGGCTTGAGCTCCAAGAGATAGGGCCGAGAGAAGCTGAGTAGCAGCGGCCTTTGTGAGTCCATTTTCCATGCCCGCCTTGACCACGAGATCGAGAGCTTTTTTCGACTGACTGTTTGTCAGTACGCTAGTATACACCGCGACGGCGAGCGAGCCGCCACCGAAACGAGCAACACCAGCAAGACCGCCGGAGGCGCCAAGATCGAGCTGCTCTACACCAAGCTGAACAAAGGCAACGGCTTCGTATTGTGCCCAGCCAAAGAAGAACTGCTGGCAAAAGATCATACCAATCATCAGGCTCTTGTTGTATGGGGTGACGAGCGCGAGAAGACCTCCGAAGACGACGGCGAGTGCGAATGAAATGATCAATGTGAGCTTCCAGTGTCCAATGTGATGCCCGGTACAAGCAAATATGAGCGCTCCACCGACAAGGCCTAGATTCGAAGGTAGAGTGAGAATGAGCGACTCGCTAACCGGGGAGGTCGGGGTGGTGTAAAACACGGATATCATAGTCTGTTAATCCTTAGCTTGAAAAACGTCTGTGGACGTCAGGCTTTTAAAACTTACAGGCCAAGCAATGCCGGCTGAATAATAGTACATCGTGATAACGGCCCCAAACATGAAAGGGACTGTGAAGGACCTTCCCCAGTGATAGGAAAATATCTGTGGCGGACAGAGCTTGTAAGGCACACTTGAGACATTCTCCCAAATACCAAACAGCACCAAGAGGCCAATACCGGAGCACAGTGGACCGAGAACAATGGCGGAACTGGCATTGCGGTACGTTGTGTAGACTATGCCGATGAGAGTCAAAGCGACACCGCCGGTGACAAGAAGCGCGCCGACGTAATCCAATCCTGCGATGGCCTGCTTCCAGGGCACACCACGCGGGTGTTTGGGAGGGACATAACAGAAGTATATGCCAACGAAATTAATGACCATGCAAATAAACGAGGCCCAGTAGACCCATTGCCAGTTGCGGCTGGTTGCATCCTTGATGGCATATCTTCCTATGATGGGTCCGCAGATGAGAATTGGAAACAAAACGCCGTCCGAAATGACGATTCCAACGTGCTTCCAAATTGTTAGCGATGAGATGTTCAAGTGTGGAGGCTATCCACGTTCGGCGGTGGAATCATCAGGTTCTTACACGATACTTGTTCGGCATCAGTTCGGGAACGCCGATGAGACCCAGTTGGCTCATACCGGACGAGAAACCCAGAATGGCCATGCCCGCAATGAACTGGTCTGATCGATGTGAGGTCGCACAGACGATGGATCCAACAGCGGAAAGGGCATTTCCAACGAGGACGATGATACGACGGCCAAAGAGATCAGAGTTTGTACCGGAAATCAAGAAACCAAGAGCGCAACCGGTTGTGAAAGACGACACAAACCAAGCACTTGATTGAGTATCACCGAACTGAGCGGCGAGGACAGAAATCATGGGAGACGTGGTAGGCACAGGCCAGAAGGAGATGCCGATGGAGGAGGAAAGCAAAAAGATGGCGATCCATGTTTTCCAGGTAGTATCTATTGTGGTATCAGGCTCGCCATCGGCAAGTCTGCTGTCGTGATGGTGATGATCGTCAGCATATATGACATCCGTCTGCTCGACACCGGATTTCTCAAGATCTTTTGATGAGCCCATTGCGACGAGATCGCGACAGAGATGGAGAAACGTGTAAAGATGGAAGGAGGGGGGAGAATCATGGGCACAAACATGTATCCATATATACTCTACACCTGGAAGACCACTGCCTGTACAATCGTGCTTTGAACCATACACTTCATTGATCTAAAGCCTCCCAAGAGCATATTGTGCGAACACTGCCAATGGGAGAGGGGCAAGGCCTTATTCTTCGTTCACTAGTGCTGGAACAGGAAAATATCTAGCCGCTGAAAGCATGGAATCGAACATCGAGAGATAACATGTCTCGGTTCCTGCGCTGGCGAATGCGATCTGGGAATTCAAGAAAGCCAACGGAAAACAAACTCCTTTGATGCGGTTAATGGCTCCGACAAACTTGGCTGTGAGGCTAACCCCCGCATATCCACTTCAACCCCATCAGCCTGGGAGATCTCTCCAAGCCTTCCCCACGGGTCCTCGAGTGGAGATAGATTCAGCCCCAAGGCGTGCTGGCAAGGCTAGCGGAAAATGCTCTCCATGCCAAAGCGCAGTTCGTTCAAAGCGATTCAGGATCAACGTCTTCACGCGATAAATCTGACTCACGGATCTAAAGAGGAAAAAAAAAAAAAAAAAAAAAAACACATACTTCCAAAGTCTGGGTTCTTCATTGTGCCAGCGCCTATTGGTCCGTAGAAATCGATCCGAAAGAGACATGAGGGGAATTGGACCGGCAGCTTTGTTTTGGCTGGCCGTGATAGAAATCGGAGTTTTGTCATGACGCAAGACCCCTTACTCGTTTCAACTAGGACTTGCAGAGTGTATCTGTACTCTCTCCTGATGGAGATGAAGCCAGGTAGCCGGTTTCAATAACAAATCTTGACTCGTCTTATGCCCTCGGAGGAATCTCGTTTTTCGCGCATTTCCATTTTTTTTGGCTTGTGCTAGTTACCGGACCTTTGAGAGCTGGAAACATACGACGGCGTTCGATATGTTGGACAATTTGTTTTCTCCAATGAACGAGAGATCCGTTCTTCTAAGGTCTGCAGGAATGGAAGTGGAAAGGAACTTTGGCATGTATCATCGTCTCCCAGATTTGCGCCTGGTAGAGAGCGCAGAAGTCCTGCAGTGGTGTGGACGATGGGAAACAAGTATTTACATCAACTTCATTGTTCAAACTAGACTTGGTAGACAAAAACACCAAGTTTTGACCTTTCAAGCCCACTATCATCGCTTGTGACTAGGGCGCCGCATCGCCGTGTTTGCTGCAGATACAAATTGAGCGAGAACCAGCACGCATGGAAACCACTACGCTGAAACTATGAGCTTGGAAGAATTTAGACACTCAGATTTTTTTTTTCTCTTGAAAAATTTGGTATTAATTAGTTCCTACGTGTAGAACTGAATTTCTTAGCTTACATTTTAGACTGCGCTTCCCATATCATCATTAGCGGTAGTGACAGTTCAAAGCCACTAGATCCTCAAAAACCTCGCTAATGCACACAAACGTAAAGTTGAACCCGTCGTTTCCAAGAATCTTTTTATGGCGTTTCTAGTGCAAAAAGAAGGGATAATAAAAACTTGTTAGCCCTAGTTGACTTGCAAAGTCAATCTGGATACAAAAAGTGAAGGGGAAATGGCCACGGGCTGACGAGACATCGAAACTTCAAAAGGAGAAGTCGTGTCCAACCCGTCCGCCAAAATCGGCATAGTGACCTTGTCCGAGAAGGTCAACAAGACCTTTACCTGGGAGAGCGGAGTACGAGGCATCGATGATAGCGGCCTGCAACGGATCCCAGTAGGCCATCTGCGGCTGCTCTTCGGCGCTGGAGTCGCTCTCGTTGACGTTTTCGGGCACACTTTGCGTTCGATCATGTACTCTTGGGGCCTCGAGCAGCTTTTGTGGCGGAACCTGTTGGGTGTTGGCCGCTGGTTGCATGCGAACAGTCACATGCATTGGGATGTGGTCTGCACTGCGCGGAAAGTCGGCGTAAAACTCGGGCCATCGCTTGAAAATGTCCGGCCGCATGGTCCAGGCATTGATGTCGCTTATTCGGCTGTCGAACGAGTCCGAGATTTTGTATTCGCCAGTCTCCAGGTTTCGAGTGTAGCAGTCGCGGAACTCGTATGGCCAGTTGATCTTCAGCGAATTGCAAAAAAGGTGCCAGAATATGTTGCCACAGTATCGATGCTGATGGAACACGAACCGTTCACGAAGCCCAGGCCTGTCAACGTTAGCCTGCTCACGTCGAGTTCTTACTTTTGGGGATGGAAGGCCTTACCATGCGAAAAAATCTATGGCGTAAGAGTGAGCCATGCTCTGCGACGGTCTTTGCAGATACCAGGGTGGAACCTTTTCCCTCTTTTCGATGGTTCTTACTGTATGATACCGCAGTAACGTATGCATTACCCTCATGATGGCGAGGCGTTCTCGCGGATCACATCTGCCAAAAATAACCTCGTCAATCTTCCGAAGCTTCGTCCAGGAAGCAGGCAGCTTTCCTCCGTATCTCCTTGCGACTGCGTCCCAACCCTCTATCAGAGCGCGGACCGGGGTATCCTCCGCAATGGCATCCTCAAGCTCATTCTCGTCACGTGACAACTGGCAAGGTCTTGTTAGAACCTCGTTTGCATACCTCCACATGTTTATCGTGGAGCCGTAGCTGGCCGTGGCTGCTTGTGAACAGCACTCACATTCCTCGTCAGCATCGGCTCGAGGAAAGATCGGATCGTCGATCAGGCCGTTCATACTGTCGTTGACAAATGGCTCGTCCAAAGGCGGGGCGGGTCGGATTGTGACTTGACTCTCGGGATGCGGGCGCTCCACAGAATGCAGGTATTGCACGTCGCCGTCGGGCGATTCGACCTTGTGAATTGGCTCCGTGTCCGGTGAGGAGTTCGCCCGATTGATTCCGGGTCCACAAGGCCCGATGCCTTGCTGGGTTCCGCTCAGGATATTTTGGTGGCTCTGGATGGAGTTTTGGATGCTCTGCAGCGTCTTAACCAGAGTGTCGCGCTCCTTTGCCATGTCTGACAGCTGTTTCATCAACGTGGCGACCTGCCCGGTGGAATCTTGCTTTCTGAAGTCCTCGACTAGGCCTTCTAGGTAGGCGATCCGGTTCTTAGTCCTTTCGCGAGCGATCCGCTGGCAACGCCTGTCCAGTTCTCGTTTTCGCATCCTCCGCGAAGTGGCAGTGTCGGCATTTTTGCCGTCGTCCGCATCTGGGGGCGGGCTCACCGCCGTTGCGGCCGGTGTTGGATTTTCCGTGGTCGTGTTGCGTCGCGCTCTCGTCGCCATAGCGATTTTGCCGAAGACGTCGAGCTGCTGCAGCGAGTGAAAAGAGGATAGGACGTGAAAGGAGGATGGATGGTTCTCCGGAGTCTGGGGAAATGAACTCGTTCGTCATCAGATCGGCCGGCGCTGCTGCGGATAAGCTTGGGCGTGCGAGGCGCCAAGCGACTGACGGACCTGGACCCTTGTTCCCAGACTTTGTTCGTGCGTGCGGGGAGAAACCGGGGCATTAGTGCTTCGTTACCGAGTCGTAGTCTTGCTCATGAAACCGCAGCACTGCTGGTCCGCTGCCGTCAAGAAGGCGGACTTCAACTGCGCTCCTCCTGCGTCCCATTGGGCCACAGCACTGCTGAGACACACGGTGCAGAGCATTTGCACGTTGTGTGCTGGGATCCGCTGGTCCGACCAGGGCGCGAGGAGAGTCAACCATGCAGACTCTCGACGCGCCCACTGCCCAGATCCCACCGTGAAGGCACGCTCTGCTGGTCCTATCCAGTGCTCTCTGCGCAGTCTTGTTGACCACCAAACTCGCGGCATCACCTATTAGACTTATTGGCTGCACCACCGACGTCCCAGGGGCTGCTGATCATGGCTGGCAGCCCTCGTATTCTCAGTTTCTCAGCGCTGCATGTTGCCTTTCAACGAGGGGCATCGGGGCCCCGGGCAGGCTGTGCCGTCAAGAGTGGATATAGGCTATACAGCGGCATGACCAGGCGGCTAACCGCAGACGGGTTCCGCCCCAATGGATGACGATGATGACAATGAGACTAGCGCGCGCCACTGCCCATCTTTGAACTTCGGCGGCTTGCGGATGCAGTGATCCAGGCCAGTGCTCGCCTAAAAGCGCTCTCTCGTTCTCATCACGGCAGTGATTAGTCCACTTCAAGAAGCAGGGTTTGCCAAGCGCAGAACAGGCGAGATCTTCTTTCGACCTGTGCCTTCGTCGTGGGATGTGTGAAAGATAGTCCATGTGGACGTTCTCGTGCCGGCCTTCTACGTCGACGTTGGCAACCTCGCTCTGCGTCTGAGGAAGCACACTGCAAGGCCGTTGCAAAGGTGGAGAGAAGCACGGGTGGCCCTTGTATGGTCCTGTGGCATTGATCACAGCTCGATCTAGGAGCAATTTCAACAACAATCCTTTCGTCACGCCGGCTAAGCCCTTGGTTACGGCTGGTTACGGCTAAGATGATACCGAGCCACGGAAGCGCGTAAGGTTGTTTTGCGATCTGATGCAGGTCCTCCACGTGGCCGCCTGTGGACTAACTTGAGTCTTACTGAATTCTGAAGTATAACCATGGTCCTGGTCCTTGACCTGCCTCCGCGGCGTCCGCCACTCCCTTTTGCGAGATTAGTTTTGCGCTCAAAGCGTTCTTTGAGAAACATAGCGCTGCCGATTATTACTTCATGCTCGTTGGCTGACAGTAAGTTGACATCTCTGATCGTGCGTCACAGTCAAAGGGTGCTTCCTTGCTGGCTGGATGATGTGGAGATGAAGCGCACAAAAATACCACCATCTCCCCCCCTCAGTTGGGGCGTCGTTTTACACCTCTGACACTCTGTGCTTGTGCTACAGGTACATGACTCTCACGCAGAGGTCACAAATTGATCGGCTGCATTATCCTTGACATTTTCCAGTCAACGTGTGTGATGCCTACGCAAGATCCAGTCTTGCGGTGTAATTGGAGGGTGTGCAAATCATCTTTTTCAAGCAATTTCACAAGGCTTGATGAGATTGCAAAACCCACGTCCCGCAAGGTCGCAAGCAGGTGAATTCATAGCCTCGAAAGAAATGAAGGAAAGTTCACTTTTTCTGCTTCTTTCATTCAGTCATATCTGTGACTGTTGTGTTATCTAATGTGAACCAAGTTGACTCACGCAAAGAAGAGAGAAGATGTTGCAGAATGATATGCCGAGCGGAGCTCATTGGCACGGGGTAAACCATTGAACAAGCAAAGAGAATGCTTGGACGTGTGCTAGCTATCCCTCTGCACTGAAAATGTAAGACTGTACAAAAAACAACGATAATGGGATTGACCTTGGGCTTTCGCATCAATGAAAGCACGTGTTAATGCGTCTAAGCAAATCTCGTAGTTCCTCTACTGGCAGGTCTATCCCCAAAAACTCCACCGCTACACGAATCTGACGCATGCTTGACAACTCCTCCGTGAGGTCGAAGAGTTTATGGTAGCAACGGTATCGGCAATTATCTTTAGCGGATAAGAAGTAATTACGTACTGTTGTCCTCTTAAATTTGGATAAAAACCTACGGCCTAATTACATTCGGTAAATGTACACTTTGACCAACCACGCTTGTGGTTTTTTTTATGGTTCAGACCGAACCTGTCTGAACAGTGCGGATTCTACGAACCTCTGGTTCCGCACAATTGCTTTGACTTTTATATTTATATTTATATTTTCTTTTTTTTCTTCCCTTTCCACAAACATACAGCCGAGATCAATTATACGTGCAGATAAAGTCTTCAGGTTCTTCAGCCTCGCGCCGCTGATACGTACGCATTCTTTTACTGCCCCAGAATCGTTTGATCGCACCGTGCGCCTTGAGCGCCTTGTGTTACGTCTATAGGGCACGCTAAGAGATTGCAATATCAAGTGGACTTTGCTCCCAGTGCATGCTGTTTTGATTTCACACTGTGAAAGCCGCCATGACATTTCCAATGCCACGTTTTGAACGCTACGTCCGTTTTTTGAGAATCCGTTGCTGACAAAAGGTGGCTTTGTGCAGCTGTATTCCGTATCGACAGAGAAGGAGATTTATCATCGCTCAGATGGTTTCAGGCCTGCGTCCTCGTGCTCAGTCCGTCTGCCTAGACTCTTTCGGCCTCTGGAACGGGAATAGTGTCCTCGGAGCCATTAGGCGAGATCGATCACCTCTTGGGCATGATTCAAGCAGCATCGTCGGAAGATCCGCTCAAAGACTAAAGCTGATCCAGTCTAGACGAGCGTTGCGCGGCATCATGCGGACAAAGAATTGCGGAGCGGGGAAGAGGGAGAAGATCACAACCCGGCGACATGCGGTCCTACGGCACAACTGTGCATCCCCATTCGTTCTGTCGAATTGTTTGCGTGTGAGGGAGAAAGAGGATTCATTTTTTTGTCGTGTTAGATTCCGTTATCTAGAATGTCGACCGGAATGATGTTATTAGTCCTGCTCAGTTTTCTGCATCGCTGAAACCTGTCCACTCTTCGCAATCATGTTGACGATCGGCTTCCGTCGGATTCACTCCCCTTTGTTCTCCTGAAGTGATACTCCCTCGGCAGCGCACAAATCCGGCAACGAAGAATCCCATTGTCCCATCCTTGGTTCCTTTCTCGCACCGGATACAAGCATCTGCTATCTCGGCTGCAGCTGTTTTTGACAGGCCCGAATCAAAGCCAAGACAAGAGTCCACATCTCCTCTGACATGCCATTCTCGTAGACCAGCAGGCTGTTCATCGCGCCGCATAATTTGCCATCCCCGCTCCACTGCAATCGTCGACGTAAGAGCTCTCAAAACAACCAGCTCATTTTCTTCAGAATGTATACTGCATGTCGAATAGGTGATACGTGAGGCCCGAGGAAATTGCATTGCTCGTAAGACGAGCTGTAGTTGGAACGCCGACAGTGCGCGGAGTCTTTCTTTAAGAGATACATCATCCGTGACCAGTTCGCTTTCCTCAGCATCATCACCAACGTCATCATCATCGATATGTACTGAAAGTGAGTTGGGAGTAGCAAGAGCATCCTTTCGGTTCTTGGCTGTCTTCCTGACATTTGAGTTCTTGCACGAAGTGGGTAGATGCATCGTTGGTTCATCATCTCGACCTACAATGCCCGTGCCAGAACAGCTCGGGTCGAGTAGCAGAGAACCTACGTCTTTCAATCCCGGATCATCCAAGTCCACGCTTAAGAAATCCTTGCTGCCAAAAACTGTGATTAACTTGTCGCCACCTGCTCGAGCAACCATCGTCTGCAACACCCGACTGCGTTGAGAGTTGCGCTCAAATGCAAAAATTTTGCGAGCGTTACCACGGCCAGCGGTTTGATATAGCAGCGCTGCCAAGTGCGTAGTTTTATTTCCTGGGGCGGCACACGTATCGATAATATCGCCGTTGCATGTTGCAGGGTTCAAAAGGTACGCAGGAAAGCAGGACGCCTTGTCCTGGATAATGAGCTCTCCTTTCCGATATGATTCAATCTGCGTCATATCATGTCCCGGAGCCAGTGCTAATAAGTCCGGGACGGTGTGATCGACATAGAGTACTTTCTCGCGTGGTGATGCTTGTTGAATCTCGGAAAGAGTTTCAACACGTCGATAGCCATGGAAAGCCGTCCCAAGTTGAGTCTCAAGCGTTGTGCGGAGCGAATTCACACGAACCCATCTAGGATGAGGATATGAGCCGGTCACGGGTTGGTTAGCGCCATGAATTTGGCTTTCAACGTGTTTCCGAAATGCTTCTATTGTCCCAAACCCATGTCGAATCCGGCATCTTGTGAATTCTGCTGATAGCCGGACCTTATGTCTCTCAATTGCTACACGAAGGGGGTGATTTCGTGGCGCGGCAATGCCACTACTCGAGACGAGAAGGTCGTGCACCAGGAGTACAGCTAAAGCCGGAGAAAGCTGCAAGATGGTCGGTCATACGCATATAGAACAGAAAATTTGATCTTACCTTTCTCTCATGGCTTAGAATCTGGCTGCGATCGATTACATCCTTCAGTATTGGGGACCATTTCAGCGATTGTACCAAGAGCGCATAAACTTTGGCGGGAGGGTTCTTCAAATTCCGGCTGCCAAAGACGCGAGATTTGAGTGATCCACCTTGTCTATTCTCGTTTGTCAGAATAGTGCTTGCTTCATGATAGAGCGACATCACATCTATCTTCTTGTCGTCTAGACGCTCCAGACCAAGCTGGCGTACATTCGTAGCTGAGTGCCCGTCGTGGAGTTTGCGCAAAGCCTGGACTTGGCGCCACTTTTGCTGACTCAGCATGCAGACCTTTCAACAGCGTGTATTCGATTCCAACGACAGTCGAGAGAAAAAGCACCTGAATTCAATCAAATTGCAGTGTGAGGGTACTAGTAGACATACAAAGGCAAGATGCCTAGCATAGGATATGGAAAGGAGCGTCCTTGTGTGCAGAAAAGTCTCGGATTTTGGAATCAAGAGTGAGAAGAATTACGAACCGTTCCTTCGGTGTGCTTTTTGCTCTGGTCGCATCTCCATGAGATATGCCGATGTGATCCAACCCATCTTGTGTATTCCGTGTCATTTGTTCGTTGCGAAATCATAGTTTGTAGCCAAATATCCTGATTATTCACGGCTTTCTCACTCGAGGTCGGAGTCAATGTGCTCACGACTTTATTTCCTTCTTCTTGTGATCAGGCAAGCCAGTCTATACTTTCATGCCCATTGGAAACGTTTCCTTTGGGGGCAGAGATTCGGATCCTTAAACATTGTTTTCACATTTTTATGCTGTTTCCATTGAGCTTACGGAGCGATGTCTGATTAACTATGCTAATCTCATCGTCCTCTCCTTGGCACACGTTGCAACGTACTAGAACAAATAATCAAAGAGAAGAAGTGCCAGAATTGAAGACAAGGAGTGGGAAATTTGCTCATTCTAGTCTTCCTACGTTGCCAGCAGTCGATGGGAGCTGGTAGTGCTTCTGCAAGCGAAAACGATCTTGTTACTGCTTCATGAAGGGACAGAATTATTGTTGGGGAGTTTGAAGCCAGCCTGAACAACAAAGTGGGGTTCCATACCTGCCTTTGCCTTTTACTGTAGTCCCGCCACGCTTGCGGTCTCAAGTACAGTCCATTTGGCGACGGAGAAGGTAATTCACTTGCGCTTGTATTTCGACTTTGGTCGTTGTCAAATGGCAATGCTCACATCCGAGTCCAAGAAAAAAATTTGGATCAATATGCCTCAAGAACATGCTCATGGGAAATTTATCGGGTTCTTCCTCTAATCAATATCAAAAGAGAGCGGAGAGGGCTTTTTGAACTGTCCAATCGATCCTATCGAAAACTATACGTCAAACTGAGTGTTACGGAGAGATTACAGAGTTTTGCTCACATGTAAACACCTCTCCGGCAAAATTTTTTCAACAAATTATGTGGGCACGAGAAGATTGGAGGAAGAGAACAATTTCGTGAATCGGGAGGGTTGACGATCAAGCCTTTAGAGGAGCAGATCAATATGAGGCATGCGGATAAAAAGCAAGAGTTGAATGTGTGAATCACGGATCTTCGAGGAAAAACAGTTCGATGGTTGCTTGACTGGAACATGTTCGGGATGTGCTTACTTGAAGGGTTAAAAGAGGAAATGGAAGACATGCATTTCCACGTTTCATATTCGAGCGCGCAACAGGCGATACAGTTCTATCTCTACGCCCCGCATGTAACTCGTCGGAGGAAACAACCGACTTAGTGGTGGTCAAGTGCATATCTTCGTCATCTTCCCAGGTTTCAAGTCCCGACCACGCCGCCATCAGCTTTAGACTTTCATCTGGGTAAGACCGTGCTTCCAGACGGCAACATAGGGGGTGATGCCGTCCTCACGATAGTTGAGCAAAACAACCATGCCATCTGGATTCATGCTCTCGCCGGTGTAGAACTCCCAGTCCTTGAACGAGGCAACAACCTTCTTGGCATAGGCTTGTCTGTCGAGAGGGTTACCATCCATGCGTCCCAAGAGAAGCAGCAAAAGACGTCGGGTAGGAGTCGGCAAGAGGTGAAAAGAGGTTTACTTACGCGCCCTTCTCGAATGCAGCAATCTCAGATTCGTCGGCACCATTCTCCTTCAGCTTTTCCTTGACCGACTTCATGTAGCCTTTGAGATATGCGAGGTAACCTTTCTTGTCGAAGTTTGTAGGCTGCAAGCGGAACGAGTAGACGACATCAATCTTTGTCTCGACCTGGTCGTCGGTACCCTCATCGGCTTCTTCGGCAGAAGCGTTGGCACCCGTGTCGAAGGTTTCACCGCCAACCTTGATGGTCTTGCAATCGGCCTCATAGACGGCACCGTCGACCTCCTTGAGATCGAAGACGTCAGAGATGATCTCGTCGTCGGTGAGGATGTCCTGCGTTGCGCGGGCTAAGTCAGCGTTGATTCATGTTGGCAACGTTGTCGTGAAGGAAGAGACAGGCAAGGTGGGGTAGCGGAGACGCAGAAGTCAGAAAAAAAATTGAGCGCACCTTGTAAATGATCATGCTGAAGGGTGGTGAAAGAAAACGAGAGGGACTACGGGCTTGTGCAAGATGAGGTAAAGAGTAAAGGGGGAGGCGGGCGGTGAGGAGCTGGCTTGCGAGGGCGAGAGTGTGACCTGAGGAAGAAGGAGAAGGCGAAATTTGATGCTCGAAATCCACACAGAAATCGTTCTCGAATCTTTTTTGCTACGAGTCGACGGCCCCGCCCACGCACATTTGCTGGTGGCGGGGCACGTGTATTGCAGCCTCATTGCCTGACACCGCGAGCGGGCTCAGGCATGTTCAGGCATGGTCTGGCATGATCAGGCACTTTCGGCACTCTGAGGCAACAAATCAAAACCTCAGGCATAAACATGCACATGCCGATCGGTGGATCGGGCTGGTCAGGCATCTTTGGTCAGGCAGCAAAAGGCACGTTGGTAAGGCAACGAACGCTCCTTCCTTCCTGTGAGTCTCGAGCCCCAGCAAATCCAGTACTACGAATACGCATTCTCGTGCTGTGCTTTACGCTGGCCTCGCTCCGTCTCTCTGCCCTTCCCTGGGGCGAGCCACGACTGGGAACGCAAGCATAATTCGTCGTGCGCCCGCCCCAGAGCGCCAGTCGATCAGATAAACTGTATTTCATACTAGTGTCGATGACAATCAAAAAGCCCGCCCAGCTGCCGTGCTGCAGGGCACGTACGGGACCAGTGTAGCTCGCTGTGCTGACGTAGAATCGCTGGAACTTAAAAGTGGCGCAACTTTGGATCCGTCCGGCTCGTCCGAAGCCGCATTCATCTCTCCATCAGCGCGTCCAGAACATCTGCCAATTTAATATTTTCTCTCCTCACACCACCTCCAACTTCTTGTATCTCCATTGTACACACTCGACTCCCACCGTTGTTCGCTCCTTGTCGCTTTTTTGTATCAACACTGTGCCAGCTGTTGCTTTCTTGCTTGGTGCTGGACTCTTCAATCACCTTCCTGGCGCGCAGTCGAATGCGCGGCATTCCTCGCCTCCCCTTAGCGCAGAACGTAGTCGGCTTGCTTGACGCTCTTGATTTTGACTGCGGCCGATCAGCTCAGCTCGGCACGTCTGGACAAGCTGCACACGTCCGCCGTACCTTGAACGTATAACTTTCTCGTTCCTTCTCTCTCCCTCCAGATCTCTCGCACACTTGGGTCCCCCTTTTCATTTCTCTCCTCTTCGAAGCGATGGCCTCCAACTTCACCGTCGACTCCCTGCCGCCACTGCCCGAGTACGAGCTCAAGCCTCTGCCTCCTCTGGTCCCGTGGGCCTCGGATCTTACCTTGTCTCTCGCTGCACCGATCGTAACCTATTGGGTCCTGTCCATCTTCTTCCACATAATCGATGTTTACGACGTGTGGCCGCAGTATCGCCTTCATACACCGCAGGAGCTGCTGATGCGCAACCATGCCTCGAGGTGGGATGTCTTTCGCGACGTCATTATACAGCAGATAATTGAAACTCTGGCTGGCATTGCCCTGTCCTACTTTGATCCCGAACCTATGTACGGCCGGGAAGAGTACGACATCGCCGTTTGGGCTAGGAGGATTCGCGTCCTGGAGAAGGCTGTGCCTTCGATTCTTGGAATGGTTGGCATCAACGCTGCGGCCTTAAGTAAGAACTGGCAGGTTTCGGCACCGATCTTGGCAAGCGTCGTGGCCGGCGGCAAGTACCCTATGCAGACAGCTCTCATCAACGGCGAGCTTACTCTGGCGCCGGCCTTTGCGGCATGGGAAATCTGGGTAGCAAAGGCCTTGTACTACGTCGTCATTCCCGGCCTGCAGCTACTTGGTGCCATGATCGTCCTCGACACCTGGCAGTACTTCTGGCACCGTGCCATGCATCTCAACAAGTGGTTGTACAGTAAGTCTTTACCTCCCAACCTGTTGCAGCGTCTTTGCTTAGCTCTTTTCAGCTACCTTCCACTCACGACATCACCGTCTTTACGTGCCATACGCATATGGCGCTCTATACAATCATCCCGTCGAAGGCTTCCTCCTCGACACGCTCGGCTCTGGTGTCGCCTATCTGGTCATGGGACTCTCCACGCGCCAATCGATTATTTTCTTTGGCATCTCGTCGGCCAAAACCGTCGACGATCATTGCGGCTATAAGCTTCCGTGGGACCCATTCCAGCGCATGTCATCCAACAATGCCGCCTACCACGACATCCACCATCAGAGCTGGGGTATCAAGACCAACTTTAGTCAGCCCTGGTTTACATTTTGGGATGCGTACATGGGCACCATGTGGCAGGGCGAGATAAAGAGCAAATATGAGAGACAGGCCATTGCTGCCAACGGCAAGTGGCTAGCCGCACAGAAAGGTATAAGCGAACCAGAACACATGAAACTCGAGGGCGAAGAGGATGCTGGCATGAGAGCCTCCGGACGCTAAGTTGGACCAAACCCTAAGGCGGAAAGAGCGTTATCGCGGTCAGGTGCCGGATGCCGATCGAAATGTTTGATTCGAACCGTCTGTATTTTGAACTAGGAATGTCCTTTTACCACAACGCAACTCATTGTGCCACATATCATTTGGATGAGTAGGTGGGTGGCGTTTGTCATCTTTGGCGTACCATGAGCCAGTGTATCAGTATGCTCTTGAAGCGAGACAGAGCAGCAATAATAATAGTAATGAAGTCCATACTTTTTCATTTTCCAGCGCAAATCAGCCCGGAGACCGTGTTGACGTTTCCGGGCAAGACAAAGCCTCAAGACAGTATGCAGATTGCAAGATTAGGACAAATCGTCAAAAAAGTCTTTTGTGTGCTCATGCCGGTCATATTAAATTTTACTAACATTGACGGTACAAATGGGACATTACCGCTCTTTTCATCTTTGACCTGATAGTCCGGCCTCCGGATCTGCCCTGCCACGAGACGAGGCCCGACTGATCTGATCCCGTTCTGCGTCCCAAAGCTCCTCCACTGCCGAACTGTCGCAGTTCAGCCAGTCATTGACGACCAGGCCGTTCCAGGCTTGCTCGAGAGCGCGTTCAGCGCCGTCCCTTCTTTCTTCTTCATCTTTTTCTTCTTCCGGACAATTCGCGTTCTTCGACCTCGTGGAGGACTTCTCGGCATAGGACTTCTCGGCATAGGCCATCTCCTCACGGTCGTTTTCAAACAAGGCTTCCGCAGACGAAGCGTTGCAGTTCAAGTAGTCGTTGACAAGCAGTCCGTTGCCTGTCGTCTCCAACTCGTGCTCCCGCTTCTCGCGCGGGGACAGCGGCGTCTTGTCTACTTCGACGTCGGCGAGACGGGCCGGCGGCGTGTTCGATAGCCGCTCGAGCTCGCGGCGCTCAGCCGCCCAAAGATCGCTCGCTGCTGAGGTGTCGCAGTTCAGAAAGTCGTTGATCAGCAGTCCGTTCCAGTTGCTTTCGAGCTGATGCTCCAGCGCTTCGCGCTGCCGTTTGAGCACGCTCTGGTCAACGCTCGAGTTTTTTGCATGCACGTCGGTCATATTTGTTGAAGAGGTACTCATGTAGTATCGTTGTCTGGGGGTTTGATTTGGACTCGATGATGTGGATGTTTGATGTCAATATATCGAGGATAAATTGGATCGAGCATTGTGCGCAAACTTATATCATATACGCAGCGATTACTCTCCTTCAATGCCATACCTACATGTGTATAGCCGTCACTGTGAGCGTCTGGCTGACTACTTTTCGTAGGATGGTGTGAGCGTTGGTCACGAGCGAGGCAGGGAAAAGCCAACCGACGAAACTCACGCCACTTTGTTTTTCGACCCCTCAAGTCGTTCATCCCCAGTTCAATAGGCTGTGCATCTTGTCTCAACCCGACTTCTGGCGTTCGGACACGGAATCTGATCGGCTCGTTATCATCTAGCGTTGGTATTTGCTTGCACGTACGCCTGAAATATGTTGAATTGATTGCTCCGCTGTCTACAATCGACAACGCGAAGTGGAATATCACCTGATGATTACGGATAACCGTCGAAAAGAAAGCACTTTTAGCGTAAAGCTGACCTCGGGCCATAGCGACGCTGCACCGTTGTAGAAGACTTATCCCATTGTTTCGAGAAAGTGAAAATCTTTTGCCTCTAAGTTGTCCGACTGGTTTCTTGCCCAAGGGAGTTAACACACCCTCCTTGTCAGTCCGGACTGTGTCTCAGAGAAGAGTCTGATTTGTTCTACGCTGTGCTAATATTCACATCAGTTCTGAAATATGCTGTCCCCATAGACTCTCCGGCACGCTGCGTTGTCCTCGAGGTGACGCATGAACGTTTTAGAGCTCTAATCCACTGTATTTTGGTTGACAAGCTGTTATGTTGCTTGAAGTTATCTATCGGGAACAAGCCAGTCCCGCCTTGAGGCATAACTTCAGTCCTTGAATGTCATGAGAAGTTTTTAGTTGATATATTGTCATTCTTGGTGGCTGTACAAGCAAATCCTCTCAGTTTAGTGCTTTCTAGACACAAAAAAAATTAGGAGAGCACTCTTCGGATCACTGATGATGACTTCGAGTACAAGGCGTAAACTCGGGTCGCCGTACTAGCTGTTTCAATGGAAGTGGCGTGAGCGCTTTCCAGACCGTGAACTCCGATCTTACAGCCTTATTGCCTTAGATGCTCAAGGCACCGAAGGCATCAAAGCTAGAGGAGATCGCTTGATCGAAGGGTCGTCCTGCATAATCCGTAATGGCTCATTTTCTTGACCGTACTCCGTAGAGCTTCATGGTTTCATGATGCAGTACACCTAATTGGTATCTGTCTACCGAGTATGCATGGTGCACCATCCCACAATATCCCCTAATACCGTTCTCGATGTTGGGCTGGCTGAATACGTTTATACCTTTTGCCGATCCAACACGGCCCATCTGGCGCGATGTCGCTCTCTCGACGATTTTGCTTCTGCTGATGTATGTTGCGCCAAGGATCGATTTCGATGCGTTGGTCAGAAAACGCTCCGCTGACAAGGAGCCTGCCGTGAATGTCTCACGCCCCGACACTCGTACCGAGAACCTAGAGCTAGACGTGAATGAGTTCGAGGATCAGCATGAGGATTCACGGAACGATCCAGCTGACGAATCTGACGCCGTGGAACTACAGGCAGACTCCAATGAGGTGCATTTAGGAGAGCATCGTCAGATGGACGATGCCAATGATGAAGGTCCAGTTCGACATCAGCCGCGAGCAAGGAATACCAACCGCGAGGTAGGCTCGAAGAAAGCGAAGTCCATTGCCCGTCGGAATCAGCAGCGAGCTTACAATGAATGGCTACGGGAGCAAGGCGACGCGCAACGCGCAGAATGGGCCCGTGACGAGCACGAACGGCAGGCGGAGCTTGCTGCTGAGAAGCAAAGGCGGGCAGCAATTGACGCCAGGCTCCGTGAGAAGGAGAAGTCGGAGCGAGAAGCTAGAAGAGCCAAAGAAGAAGTGGAGAGGCAGGCAGAGCTCGAGGCAACGCAAAAGGCGCTTTGCTTGATTGAGCAAGCGCTTGAGGAGAAGAAATGTAGCAACGTCAATGATGTTGCTAAATCAGTCAAGAGGAGTGAGGAATGGGTGCGACAACTGGCTAGACGGGAAGGGTTACTCGGTGTCAAACTCATCAATGATGAGAAGACGGTCGTCATGCTTACCAGCAGTGGTTGGATTATGCGGGTCGACAAGACGAGAATGGACAAGGTCTATGCACAAGCAGCAGCAGCATGCAGCCGTGGCGATGGTAGAATCACATGGAGTGAATTAGGAAGGATGTTGCAACGGCAAGTTGTGGATGCAACATGATATCAGCAAGGCTTATGACCCAGGAGATCCAATCCAAGTCTGCGAACTGACCAATTGTAATGCCGACGGAATGTGGGATTTGGATCCTGGCCCACATTATCTGCGCGACTGCTCTGGACTACCATATGGCCCGGCGGTAGGGCGACGTAACACTCCGCATGTCGTCTATGACAGGTTCGCACGTGTTCGCTTACCAAACTTAAGACTTGTGTTGAAGCGATGCGGCTCGCAGGCAAATCCTCCCATCCTGTGGCTTTTTCAAATCGCCGTCGTACCAATTCGTCAAAGTCTATGAGGACTTGGAATTAAAGAGACTCTGCTTTGCCAGAACAACCGGAAGGAACGCTCGCATTGATTTATGGCTTGTCTGGGTGAACGTCTTCTGTTCGCTAGAATGGCAGCTTTGTAGCCACTTGAGAGAAGGCGCAACTAATATCATGAACATTGCCCAGCAAGGATTTAGTGTCCTTCACGCAATGCGACTAATATTTCTTTTATGTTGTTAATTTCAATGACTTCGCGTGTTTGCGCACTCCATTGACTTAGAATGTCGTTGTATATCTCGGACATGATTTTGGATACGACAAAGTCCGCCTTAGCTCCGAAGGTCCGAACTGTCCGACGGATAGTTGAAAGACATCTTTACTCCCGACGTGAACAAATGGAGCATTATCCACTCCTTTCAGAATCACCAAAGAGAGGGGGGCAAGGCCACAAAGTCCGTGATGATAGCGAGCAGATACGACGTCCCGGGAGGACCAAGGTATAAAAGAGTCGCGAGGGAAAATGAAGAGATGAGCTCATTGAAGAAACGCAACCGCACAACTCGAGAGATTTGTCAAATTCAAAAGCCTTGAATCCTGCTTTGGTAGCGCCTGTCAGAATGTCGAACCACATCAAGAACGTCGCGATAGTTGGCGTAGGCAATGACGATGACACGAAAGAGCACACTGAGGAACTGCTAACAAAGACGTGCAGGCCGGCGGGCAGATTGGCAGTCACATTGTCCGCGCCCTGGTGGCGCAAGGGAAGCACAACATCACGGCCATCACGCGCGAGGGGTCCGAGAATCAGATTCCGGACGGCGTCGCTCGTCGCACGGTCAATTACGAGAACCACGCCTCGCTTGTGTCCGCCTTGGAAGGCAACGACTTCTTGATCGTCACGCTGGCGGTGACCGCGCCGGTGGAAACAAGCGCATTGCTCTTCAAGGCTGCGGCAGAGGCGAAGGTTCCCTGGGTCATGCCCAATCTTTTCGGGACGGACTGCAGCGACCCGAACGCCGAGGAAGCGATCCGCATGCAGTTTGAGAGCCAGCGCAGTGTTCTTGAAGGCCTAGGCTTGAGCTGGGTTGCCATCGCCTGTTCGTTCTGGTAAGTGCGCCAAAGGCCGACATTAAAGCGTTGCGTCGCCAGCTGACGGGCTCAAAATAAAAGGTACGAGTTCTCACTCGCTGGCACGTCAGACAGATACGGCTTCGACTTTCGGAACAAAAAGGTGACTTTCTATGACGACGGTGAGACTCCCATCCATACGACGACGTTTCCTCAAGTCGGGCGGGCTGTCGCTTCGCTGCTGGCTTTGGCCGTAGCACCAACAGACCCGAAGGATACTTCGCCGACTTTGGCCACCTTTCGAAACAAGTTCGTGCACATTGCCTCCTTCCGTATCTCGCAAAAGGACATGTTTGCCTCCGTCTTGCGTGTCACGAAGACGCAAGAGAGCGATTGGGACATCTCGTACGAGAACAGCAAGGATCGTTTCGATCGCGCCAAAGCTGCCATGCTGTCTGGTGATCGCATTGCTTTTGGTCGCATGCTCTATGCCCGCGGATTCTTCCCTGGAGACACCAACATGTGTAATTTCGATCGTTACGGCTTAGACAACAAGCTGTTGGGGTTGCCCGAAGAGAGCCTAGACGAGTTTACTCAAGTAGCAGTCGACATGGTCAACGAGAACTACATCGAGAAGAAGTACGCGGCACTGCAAAACGCTGGAGGGAACAGGGTCGCAATGGCGCTTTATGGCGAAAAACAATCTGAGTAGGACATATGGATATGTGAAGGTACTCTCGACATCAACGGATTCAGATTTTGGTCTCGTCATCATCACTTTTCAAGTATCGAACAAGACAATTTAAACATCTGCAGAAATACATACAGTACCCTCAGCAGCTATTTTGGTGCGATTTTTATCCGAGAATCTCTAGTGATAATCCCGTGGAATCTCCCGCTCCCACCCGCCAGGCAAGCATCGTACAAAGGAGCGTCTACTTCGTCTGCCCATTCGGCCGGCCAGCCCAAACTCAGTTCAAAGCCCATTGTGAGTGCGTGTTCTTCATTTCGAGGAAGGGCTTGAACGATGTCCGCCGTGATGTATCCTTTAGCGACGAGCATGAGCTTGCTCAAGGCAGCGGACCTGCGCTGAAACCACCCGGAGCCACCCTCGTAGGTAGGAACGGGAATTGAGGACTCATCCAGACGTGAATTGTTGAGACGACAGTAGCCACATGATCTAAGAGATAGTGTATGGAGAGCGTGATTTGGCACTGATGAAGGAATATTCATAGGACTCATTGTGCTTCCTGACGCTGCAAGCGTGACGCCAGGCGAGATCGAATCCAGAACATGAGGCCATGATCCAATCCGCGGGGACAACCAGTCGCGGTTTGCAAAATTTGGCTGCTCTGGGGGGACTTGATGAGGGCCTGGGACAAAAGCTGGATTGCTCGAACCTTGAGCAGATTGTACGAATGCGGCTTGGGGTAAGTGCTGACTGTTCGGGAGTCCAATATATCCACCGTGGAGAGGAATATTGTTTTGTGATATAAGCGGAGCTTGTATTTGCGGAGCCGCAGCCATAAGTTGCCCAGCGTTTTGGGCAGGGCTATGTATCAGCTCAGCTGTCAAGCTGACGGATTCGAGACAAAGCCGCTCAAGTGCTGGATGTTCTTGAACAAGGTGAACTAGCGCATGTGGCGAAAGCCAGCAATTCTTAAGCTTGAGCTCCCTAAGGTGTGGAAATTTGAGAAAGCGATCCTCTAAAAGCTGCTTGTTTGCGAGACTCTCAGCACTCCGAAGCCACTCCGGCGGGAGACCCGGGGCAGGCATAAGATTCTTGTTTCGAGCCATAAGTCCTTGCGCCAACTCACCACCACTTGCCCAACCGACGGTGAGTGACTTGATGGTTGATCGTAAGGCAATCATCTCTGCCAATAACTTGTGCAATAACCAGACAGCAGAGGCAAGTGAGATACATGGCGCGTTTACGAAGCCAGCACTGTCCTTGACAACGTCTCTGTAGTCGGGAATTACGCTAATTGCAACATTCTCTAGCTGTGGCAACGCACGCCAAAAATCCTCCCGGCACAGCGAGAGCAGAAAGCGACTTGAAATGCTGGAGAAGTTGAGGGTGTGGACATGCTTAAACGCGTGCTGATTGTCCACCACGGCTATCAGCCACGAGGAGAGGAAAGCACGCTGTGCCCATTCTGTCTCCAGAAGCCATTCTTTCTGTAGCTTGGAAAGTTCTGCTGGGATGATTGGGTGACGCTCAAGGCGGTCGGGATCAAGACTATCTTCTTGGACAAAAAAAACACCACTCTCTAAAGGTTGGGGATTCGACTTGGATTTCTCGAAGGCATTGTTGTTTGAATGCTGTCCATCCATCGTCACGGCATCAGCAGCGAGAGACGAGCCAATTTTGGATTGTGGAGAGAGATCTGGGAAGAAAGGAAGTACTTCGACAGTCGGGTCAGTCAAATCATGCATGTCCATGAAGGGTAATTCTGACTCGCAAATAGAATCCAGGTTCCCTAGCGGGTTCGAGTTTTGCGACATTAGTCCATCGAACTTCATTGCGGCTATTGTGCAGTGCTTCAGCTCAACATTTGCATTCCTTGAAGCCCATTCATTGAGGTATTGCCACAATGCATGCCTCGCCTCCTGACATCGATCACGGATTGGCTTAGCAGCGCCAAAGATTGGACGTCGCGAGCCGAGAACTCTAGACCTTATGCTGCGATCTGGACCAGAAAGCCATCCCAAGCCCGCATCGAGGCTCAAAGCGAGTTCTTGCACCTCAGTAAGAAATGAAAACGCAGTCTTCATCTTTGGAGTCTCGTCCGCAGCGTCCTCCAAACCCGCCACCTGATCAAATCGTCTGTATTCAGGATACGGCCACTGGTAGACGCCCCAGTAGCTTTTATGATCTTCGCGCATTCCTTTCAGCGGAGGATCCGCAAGTACTTCCTCACGCACTTCGAAGCACATGCCAAAGCGCCTTATTCGCGAACCAAAGCTTCTAAATACATCGATACCGTGACCTGTGTAGATGTCCTCGTCTCTGGAGTTTTCCCAGAAAGCTAACGAGGGTGGCATAGTTGCTTTAGCTTTGCCCTTGCCGCTTGACTTTACTCTGTTCTTGATCGACGCTATGTCATTTAACATGCCGTATATTTCTGTGTTGAAGGGCACGACGACTGTTTTGAAGAGAAGGCTTGATATTTGGTGTTCGAATTCTTTGCAAGTTAAACGCATGGCCTTGATGTCGTCGCGGGAGAGCGAGTCCGCAATTAGATAGTAGATTTCGCTTGGCAGCGCTTTCATCGGCCAAATCAGTTTCGTGCTGATCTCGTCGTTCAGCTTGCCGCCACCATCACATTGTGCATATTTTATCTTCCACGTAAATATTCGCGCTTGAGACCCAGACCACGCAGAGGGGTATTCGAGTGAGATCGGAGAGTATCTTGCAGGAGCCTTCGATGGATCACGTATGTCTGGCCACACATCGCTACCCGTTGGAGCCAAATTGACGGTGTATATGAACGCCGCCGAGTTTTTGATCTTTTCTACTTCCTTGCTCGCGCCAGACATGCTTAACGACGATTTAAGCGTAAACGTTGACTTCCAAGTTTGAGCCTCGTCACTGCCACTTGCGGAGCGTCTCCTTGGCGGAATAGGCCCCGCAAGAAGCGGCCCGGCACGTTCAATGTGTTCCTTCATGACACCCAATAAATTGTTCTCGAACACGGCGCGATCCAAGTGCAGCAGACCAATGTCTCCACGGTCGAATGTGCTTTCGCCGGTCAAATTGCGGTTTAGCAAAGCCTGTATGGCGTCACTTTGCTCTTTCAAGTGTACTGGCGAGCCATCCAACGAATCGGTTTCGGACTCTGAAGCGCAGATTTCACCCTCAGAATTCGAAGCGATGATGGGAACGAACAGGGTGCCATTGAGTCTCGAAGCTAAGTTCAGCTGTGAAGGACCTGAAGGAGTAGATGTCGGAAGGCTGATGATCGAGGGCGACTCGGCTACTACATGGTGTGTTTGCCATTCGGAGTGCGAGTTTGACGCAAGGTTCTCAACACGCGGGCTGGGAACAGCAGGGGCGGAAGAGGAGCAGGCTGACGAACTGGGAGGAGCAAGCGTAGGAAACTCCAAGTCAAGGTACTGAGCCATTCGTTGGAGTCGTCCCTAATTCGCCTCATCAGCCAGTGATAATGACATTGAATGCTTTTAGATCGCAGATAGTGCATCAAATAGTGTTCTGACCTAGCACAGAGGAACAACGCACGAATGGTTGTGGGATGTGCCGGCTCTGGCGACCTTTTCGCTGTTCACTTTCTCTTTCAGTTCGCCTCCGCTCTAGGTGCGAATGTTTTCTCGACTTCATCGCCACATTTAGTCGCACACGCTCACGTTGCGCATGTTCCGATGGTAAGAAGGGCAGAGAGGCATGAGACTAGCAGCATGGTTCGCCGTTGAATGAAGCAGGCAGTCCGTGAGCTCGCTTGCACTTGGGCTCTTCTCGAAGTTGCAAGATTCGGCAGGTGGAATTGATCAAGGCGGCCGTTGCGTATCTACGAAACACGAGGCATCTTATGTGCAAAAGTTGCGAGATGTAGAAGGTGCTGTAATTCCACGGAAGTGCAGAAGCGTGAAAGCATTTAGTTCTTATTGTAAGAATATCGTATGCGTCTTGGACGCCCGCCTGCTGTCGCAACCAACTAACTCACTTTGGGTTAAGCGCATTACAACTCTGAAGATCCTCAGCAGGTGCGGGGAATTGACCAATCAGGACAGCATGTTTAAGCCTGACACTCTACTCACTGGACATTCTGACCGTACGTCACGGTAATCATGCGCACCGTTCATGAACACATGTTTCCAGAATTTCTGGCATATATCCATGGCCTCGATTGTTCTGAATTTCAATCACGATATCCACGGTCCTTTTAATCTCGTGCCACACAGAACTGGGCAAACAAGATACGGGTGAAGGAACTCACGTGAGATGTACGTTGGAGAGTTCGGCTGCCTCTTGGAACAAGAATGGTGCGACGAAGAAGATAGCAGACGAATGAGAGCATGTTGGTCGTGGAAGGAATGGAAGAGATTGTCGGAAGAGAGGAGAAGGAACGCTTGCATTCGACCATCGCCCGATAGCAGCATCCACGCTGTCTTTTCACGCTACATGGAAGAAGTTGATTGGGGAAGAGACGAATATAAAGTCGACGTATTTCATATACGAGCCGAAATAGAAGGCGCTTTACTATTTCTACTACGATAGAGGTTGACGGAATAGCTAGGGGAACGCTAATCAAACGAAGCTCGATGCAGGCTCTCTAGACGTTGGGTTCTTCTCCCAGTAAATGAATCTTTTAAAAACGTGGGTCATTCAAGCCTCGGCAGAGGATCTCTGTTTAGGATATCGGATGAAAGGTAGTCGCAAACACATCGACAATGCATACGGGTGTAATCTTTCGAGAAAGCGTGCACAAGCGTTTCGCCATGGTATTTATTTCGACGTGTAGAAAAGGCGGCGCAAGGGACTCGAAAAGCCAGATCAAGAAGTAGCGTGAGCGACAATATGGAGATGCTGCAGATCTATTGAAAAACCATCATCGACTGCAAGGCTTGAGGCGGTCGCGGGTCGACACCTGGCGGCATCTTCGTGCTTTATCGGCGTTGGGATGTCTCGCAGGCAGACAGAAAAGAGGAACGGGTCAAAGGAAACGAGCGGTTGGCAGGGATGTGTGTAGGATATGAAGGGACACATATTCAAAACTAGGGAGAAGACCTACACAGCATCTTTAGGAAGCTTGCTCAGGCAGTCATCGCAGCGGCGGTTGGTGTCTTGCAACCCGCACTGCAGCTGCTGTGCTGATGTTGCGAGATCCGTGAGCCGGATTCGCTGCTGAAGCGTCGGGACGAAAGTCTCACGACCTCACGTGCAGCGTGATTTGAGTTAAGTTAACGAGACAAAAGGAGTTTCCTAGACAGGCTGGGCGTGGCAAAAGGGAAGGAGCGAAGGGGACCAGCACTTCCTACGGAGGCCCAAGCGTGTGTCACGACTGCATGCTGGAGGCCAGCGAAGAAGATGCGTGACAACCGAGAGCTGCATGAGCCAGCAACGACTGAGACGAGACAGGCAGGAGATATCGAAAAGCAAATTGTGCAGCGCAGGAACCGGCCAAAGGCGAATACGGGGCTGGTTTGGTGCGGCTCTGGCGAGGCAAAGGCCGAGAAACCACGGCGCTGGGATATTTGGCCTGCAGGCGGCTCAAAGATGCCTACAAGTACATGAGGCCGACGATAGCCGCGAGAGCCATTATCGGAACTAATGCACGGTGGCAGGAAGTTGGTTTTTCGGGCAAGCGCATGCGATGGTTTGTGAAGGCGTGCGTGAGGAGGGAGCAGGAGAGGCAGTTGCGGCAGAGTGTGTGTACCGAGATCTGGCAGGACCGGGTGAGCAACGCAAGCGAAAGGCGGGGGAGCGGGTGATGCGGCGCTGGCCAGGGGGGGCAAACCAAGCCAGGCAAGAGCGAGAAGCCAAGCCAAGCTTCGGCGAAGGCTTCTAGAAGATCGCTTGAGACGCAGAGATAAGAAAGAGCCACTTTTAGCGGGTCCCAAGCGGGGAAGCCGAGCAGTCGACTGACCCTCAACAAGGGGGGGCGCCGCGGGCTGGGCAGTCTGCTGCAGAGGCCTCAGTGCGGCCCCGTCGTCCCCACGCAAGCAGACACACGGGCCATTGGTCGGAGGATAACACCTGCCTCATCAGGATGGTCGCGTGTCTGATTCAGTCCTTGCCGACTCTGTGCGAAGTGTGAAATGAGTGAGCGCTGGCGCTGGGAGCAATCGCGTGTGCTGAAATGGCGATGGCTGCCAGCCTGGCGCAGCACAAGCAGGCAAGACACCGCCGACGCTTCCAAGTACGGATGGCCACCCAAGGCCAGGCGGCGAGGGGTTCCGCAATTTTTTTGGGTGCGGTGTTGTCTGCGACGCCTGCACGTTCGCTGGCACCGTTCTGTGGGCCTTCCCACTTGATGCGCTCCACTAACGTGTTTCTAGCCAGCGGGAGCTTCATCTCCACTGCCTTGGGCCACCCTCCTGCTGTTTCGAGGGCTGCTGACCTGTGGTCGAACCTTCCTAGGATGGAAAACCTTATCTATTATGGACCTGTGTCACTCCTTCGTTCCTTTTTCTTTTCTTTTTTTTTTCACGGCGCTCGGCAGCTGCGGCCTTGAAACTTTCTGCGCTCATGACGTGACTGCTTCCACCCAGTGATGATGAGGGCTGGCGGCGTCGGCACCCTCAGCAAGAACATCGACATCGTCTTTGGAGTAGCAGGCAGCCGACAAGAACAAAAGAGAAACGTAAATTTCCAAACTTGCCCGTCACATCCGTTGCGCTTTCGCGCCTGGGCGTTGCGATCGCGGGGCCGCAATTACGAGGAAGAAGGGTGCACGTGGAGGATCTGGTCCAAGTCGGGCATGGTGCGTCTTGGATCGTGAGCTTGCTGTGCAAACAAATTATGCAGCGCCGACGTTGATTAGGATTGCTGGTGTCATTACCATACCTGTTATTCATGTGTTATTATCCGTTTCGTCATCATTATCGTCAGCACCAAGGCCCGTTCCCATCAGGGCCATCATCACTACCCGCACCTGCACCCGCACCCGCACCCGCACCCTCAGCGCAGTCTTCGCCGGCGGCGTCTCCATCGTCCTCAGCAGGGCCATCTGCCTCCGCTGGCGGGACGCACAGCTGCGTCAAGGCGCGCTTCGTGCTCGATCACGAGGGTGGCGCCACGCTTTCCGAGCGATCAGTCCGCACGACAGCCGGCCGGCCTCCGTTTCGCTTCGGTCGCGGCTCTGGCTGCGGTCGCTCACGCAGAGGATCCCGTAATGAGAACCGTACTCGCAGCGAGGACCCCTTCGCGCAGCCTCTCATTTGTCGTCCCAATCTCCGTCAAGACCTGGTCGCCGGCCAGCCTCGCCAAACAAACGTGCGCCGACGCGATGTCACCTTACCCGATGCGCATCTGGTGAGCGCAGAGCCCGGCAGGCTCCTGTGATTTGCTGGGCGCCGCCCCCTCCCAAATCGGCGGGCGGGTGCCTTATCTTTGATTTGCCGCAGTTACATGGCGCTAGTGCGTGGCGTCGCAGGCTTGGAGGTGCTTCGAGGTGCTTGACGCCCGCGTCGCCCAAGGCCCGGTGGGGTCCCAGCGGCGGGCTATCTCTGCTGCGTGCGGGCGCAGCTTCTTGCGCTCGCTCCGGCGCTGGTCTTCGAGATAAAATCGCGACCTGGTCGCCCTGTCGCGTCGCTCTCCCTCTCTTCTTCCCTCGTGCGTCCCCTTCGCAATCCCTTCGCGCCCCTCTGCTTCTTCCTTCTTCCCCCGTCCCTCCCTCTCTCTCTCAGCTTCGACTCGTCGCGCCAAGATGAGTCTCAAGAACAAGGAAAACGTCGACCTCGGCGAGAACCATGATCCTGCCACGCCCGTCTACGAGAAGGGTGCCCTCGGCGGCCACACGCATGACCCCGAGGACCACACTGTCATCAATGGCGAGAACAAGCTCCACAAGGACCTGAAGGGACGCCACATGCAGATGATTGCCATGTGAGCCTCCGCGCCCGCCCGTCCCCGCCCGTCTTCCTCTGCTGACCCGTCTTTCTTTTGCGCAGTGGTGGTGCAATCGGTGCTGGTCTGTTCGTGAACTCCGGCAGTGCTTTCCAGACCGGCGGTCCCGGTTCTGTGCTTCTCGGCTTCATCATAATCGGTATGTCGCCAACCCTGTGGCCCTTCACCGTCTACTCGTCGCACTTGGCGGCTAACACGTGCTCTTAGGTATCATGATGTAGGCATCCCCAAACTCGATTTCTAGTCGTTTTCATGTCCACTCTTCCTTCCACTGTTCCCCCACCCCACGATTCTCACCATGCTCAAACTGACCGACTCTGCCCAGCTATCTCGTGATGCAGGCTATTGCCGAACTGGCTGTCATGTACCCGGTCAACGGTGCTTTCACCATGTACATTTGCCGCTTCGTCGATCCGTCCTTGGGCTTTGCCTGCGGTTGGCAGTATGCCATCAGTTGGTTGACCGTTCTTCCTTTTGAGATTTCCGCCGCATGCAACATTATCCACTACTGGCCTGGATCTGAAGGCATCAACAACGCCGCTTGGATTACTCCCCTACTGGTCGCTTTGATTGTCATTCAGGTCTTCGGCGTCAGAGGCTATGGCGAGGCAAGTTTTGGACGACCCAGTGGAAATTCTTCACTTTGCGAATAAGCTAACTGGGAGTTAGGTCGAGTTCGTGCTGAGCGTCATGAAGATTATTGCCTGCATTGGCTTCATGATCCTGGGTATCATCATTAACTGTGGCGGTGTTCCAACCGACAACAGAGGCTACATCGGTGCCAGATATTGGTAAGCCTTATCGGCCCCAGATTCTTCTTCCCCCCTTATTTTTTTTTTTTTTTTTTTGTTTTTCAAAAAAAAAAAAAAATTCATTTTCTATCTATGCACAAATGTACATTTCGCTAGCATGGCAACGAGCTAATTTTTGTTGTGCAGGCATTCACCATGGTCCGGATTCCTCAACGGTTTCCATGGCTTCTGCACTGTCTTCGTCACTGCCTCTTTCGCCTACACTGGAACTGAGCTTACGGGTTTGGCTGCTGCCGAGACAGCCAATCCGAGAAAGGAAATCCCCAGAGCGTCTAAGCAGGTTGTCTGGCGAATTGGCATCTTCTACATTGTCAACCTCTTCCTTGTCGGTCTGATTGTGCCAGCGGACAGCCCGCTGTACAACGGCCCGGGTTCTTCATCTCGCCACTCGCCGTTTGTCATTGCCATCCAACTCGCGGGCATTAAAGTCCTTCCTTCGATCTTCAATGCTGTCATCTTGATCGCTGTCATGAGCGTGGCCAACTCCTGCACTTACGGTTCGACTCGTACGATTCAAGCATTGGCCGCTAACGGTGCGTCGAATCTCTCATGTTCTTTCTTTCTCGAGTCTTTTAAAATTTCTTCTGTGCATTCGCGCTGACAATATGTACAGGTATGGGTCCTAAGTTCATGGCTTACATTGATAAGAAAGGCCGTCCCCTCGTGGTTGTCGTCATTCAAATTCTCTTTGGCCTTCTCGCCTACGTCAACTTGGCACCAAACGGTGGAGACATTTTCACCTGGCTTCTATCCCTTTCTGGTCTTTCCATCCTCTTCATCTACGGTGCCACCGCACTTGCCCACATTCGTTTCCGCGCGGCTTGGTAGGTCCAACTTCGTACCCTACGCGTTTTCTTCCTGCGCTGACCCGTTTGTACAGGAAAGCAGCCGGCCATTCATTGGACGAGCTTCCGTTCCGTGCCGCGTTCGGCGTCTGGGGCTCCTGGTTGTGCTTGCTTATCAACATCCTCGGCCTCGTCGGGCAATTCTACGTCGCGTTGTATCCCATCGGCGGCCCGAACTTGGACCCAACCACATTCTTTGAGCTGTACCTGGCTGGTCCCTTCCTCGTTTTCCTGTACCTCATTTGGAAGGTTTACAGTTGGTTTGCGCGACCTGCAGACCGCCCATTATGGGTCCCTCTCAAGGACATCGACATCTATACCGGAATGCGGGACACGCAAGTTGCAATCAGCGGGCCAGACGCTTCTGAAGAGGTTAGAAGAGCTAGCATCGCTGAGATGGCTGAAGAGAGGAAGAAGAAGGGACCCCTCGACTACGTTAAGGCTGTTGTAAGAAGCGTCATTTAAAATCATGGTACGTGGGTCAAACGCGATCTTGACAGCGCGTATCTGTGAATCACAGGATGTAAGCTTTAAACGATGAATTGGCGCGGTTTATCAATACGATACCAATGGAGAAGTCTGCTCAAAAAGCAAGCTTTGCCTAATTCAGACACTCGTCTAGCATTTTTTTTCTTCTTATTATCGTATTCTTAGTCATTTCTCGAAACAAATGAGACTTTTTGAACTATTGATTTTGCAAAAGTAGGTTAACCAGTACGCAGATGGCTGCTCAAATTACGCGCCACATCTGCGTGACATCAGGAACTGAAAATTTTGCTGCCCAAAGACGCTGCGCCTCAGCAGTGGAACAGAGGCGGTATTTGTTTGTATGAGGGATTTATTGGCTAGCGCAGACCCTAGCCCTAAGAAAAACACAGTCTTTGCTTTTAGCACTGTGATTTTCGACCTGGATTTGTTCCATACTAATACGCATCGCCGCCCTTTGGTTCCGGGTACTTCGAAAACTTCGAATTTTCCTCGAGCAAACTCACAACTTCGCGGCCACCCCGATCCTGCTCGCTTCACAGCGTTGAACCACACTTCGAACAGTTCGTGTGACAGGAGAGTGCATCTCCTACTAGCAAATCTGGCAAACATTATTTTCTTCGCTTCAACAACAGGCCTGCTCAAGTCTGTTGTAAAGCGCCTGGAGCCCACACGACCGCCATAGGTCTGGAGATCAAAGCTGGATGGTCTCGTGCTTGCCAAATTCCACCACCGTCCTTTGGTGATCCGTCCAAACGGCTTCGTTCAGGAACGGCTATGAGAACTGCGTCGCCATGATTTCTGAGATGTTCGGGCACGTTCTTCGTGCGCTGCGGCTTCCAGGTCGGCGGTACGAATTTCGATGCGTTGCTCCCTCTCAAATTGTCGTCGACCAGGACGTCAACGATCCTGAGAAAGGTCCAGTCGTTTCTTCGCCGGTCACCAACACGTACAGAATGGTCGAGAAGCCAAGGCGGATGGACCGTTGGCTCGACAAGGTCGTCGAGCTTTCGGGCTCGCAGATTGTTTACTTTGGCATCCTCGCCGCCCTGTTCGCGTGGGCCTTTCTCGGGATCAAGTTCGGTCAGGCTCAGACGTACAAGATCGTCATCTCAGACGCCCAGGCGATTATCAACATGATCTTCGACGCCTTCCTCATGCGCCAGCAGCTCAACGCGTACAACAACCATGTGACTATCGCAGCCTGTCTTCGATCGCGGGCTCGTAGTCAACGACGCATGTTGCAGCTGCTCCTCGACAACGGTCAGCTCGTTCCGAACGAGGCTGTGGAGGTCGAAAGACTTGACGGCGAAACCTTCAGCTCGGATCTGCCCAAGGAAAATTGGCTCGGCCGGATTTCGACTGCGATTTCTGTCATTCTGGGTCACATCGTCACCGTGTTCGGCTTCTGTGGATGCATTGTGATTTGGCTGGCTTTCGGTCCCTACTGTCACTGGTCCAACAACTGGCAGCTCTACATCAACTCGGCAACTTCTGCGCTCATGGTCTTTATGCTTGCCTTCATCGCCAACATCCGAGAGCGGCACAACAAGTACATGAACAAATGTTTGGATGAGATTTGGAACATCGACACTGCCCTGGAATGCCGGCTTCGTGCAGTTACTGGAGACACAATCGAGAACGAGCCGGTGGTCATTCCGCCTCCCAAGCAGACCAAGATCCAACGAGCCATCGACTACTATGCCGATCTTGTCGGGACCCTTGCTGGAATCGTCATTCTTAGCTGGGTCATCATTGTGTGGATCGCGGTTGGGCCAGCTTTCCATTTCAACTCGAACTGGTGGCTGCTCATCGGCACCTACGCTGGTCTGGTTGGACTCAACGACGGCTTCGTCCTGCGTAACGTCAGCACAAATCTCAGCGACTATGCCGACCTTCAATTCCATCAAGTTGCAGCTGATGATTTGGAGATGTTCAACATCGTCGGAATCAGTAACTCGAAGGAAGGAGAGGATCAAAGCAATCCAGGCATCGCCTATCGTCTCTCTACATCCGTGGGTGCGGTTTGTGCGCATGAGTGGATGGTTGTTTCGGGTGTTATCCTGATCATCGGTCTTGTCATTGGGGCAAGCGCAATGCGCTGGAGCTTGACGGGTCAGCTTCTTTGCAATGTTCCCCCCAGCATAATTGAGTCATTCTTTACAATGATCCTTCTTACAGGTCACAACATTGATGAAGAGAAGAGGCGGAAACACTTTGCTGCCTTTTACAATCGCCGTCACACGCTCATTTCGGTACTTGAAAGGGTAACTACGACCAAGACAATCATTACTACTAACGTAGTGGAGGAGGACATCAAAGATGAAGAATAAGGTTTATATGATGGAGGACATACTAATTTTCTTTTTTTTTTTAAAAAAAAAAGAGAAAAAAAAAGGGGAGAGAGAGAGAGAGAAGAAAAGAAAAACCGGACACACTTTTCTTTTTCTTTTAGGTCAAATTTCTGAAAATTACAATTCATTTCAAAGGGGAAGAATATAAAAAAAGGTGAAAAAAGAAACAGAAAAAAAATTAGCCATTTGATCTCTTTCTAAAAAAAAAAAAAAAATCTAGGAAAAAAAAGGGAAAAAAGAAATGAAAAATCCCAAAAAAGGAATTGGTGGAAAATGAATAAAAACCGAAAAAAAATTCTCTTAAATATCTTTCTAGTTTTTAGAATTTCGTTACATATCTAATATAAGTCTTTCCTTTTTTTTTCTTTTAATTGACACTCAGATTATCTTCCCTGATGCCATAACCCCACAACCTTCTAACCATTTTGTCCTTCCCAATCGCCATAGCTTTTCTTTCAGAACCTAGTTCTAATAGCATATCATTCCTTCGAGGATGTTATAGTGAGCGCAGTTGCCTTCCTCATGGACTTGGTCATGCAGCAACTCTTTATTCTGGCCAAAGAGTCGGCATTGCTCAGCAAACTTAAACATACGAGTCATCTCTCTCCCGGCACCCAAAACAAAATTCCCAAGATCGGTGGAGCCAGTACATCCATAACTTTATGTCCTGCAATCGTTTGGTTGGGATCCTTTTCCTCCATACCACTTACTGGCTAGAGCAGCTGCCATTTAGGTGGCATTTATGAAAAGAGGCAACAATCTCTCCACGCAATAATGGGCTGCATGCCGTGTAAGCTGAAGCAATTCCGGGCTCATGCCGCCTAAAAGTCAAGGTGTTGTCCTGGCCGATGAATCCAAAAGATGTGTTCTACGTTCTTATTCCTCAGGCAGAGCTTGTCCTTGTGTACTCCGTAAATATTGGAGTTTTCGGTGGTCCGAAGTCGATTTAATAGTGAGCTAATGAAGGTGCTGGCTGCAGCACCATTAGCGGTGAAACGTTTTCCCAGAGTGACTTTTATAATTCCACCAATGACCGAATCGTACCCCAGATAAACTAACTTTGTTCTGGAGATTACAAGGATCTTACCCCAGTTAAACGCAGGCCCGGTTATTAAATTATGAACCGCTTCACATTTTGCTGTGGATGTGGAAATAAAATATCACTTTCTATGCGGAGAAAAGGCGAGATGTTATTCATATGACGCGCAATGTTATTGTGTGCCGATATTCTGGCAGTATATATAAAGGCGTGATAGGGTTGTGAAAAGTGAAAGGCTACTCTTGTCTTTCGTTCCCAATTCTATGCGAAAGCTTGACATCCTTTGTTTGTTAAAATGAACTTCTTGTTGCTGCTGTTACAGATTTCTGGGGCTGTTGCCACTTGGTCGGCATACGAGGAATACTTGTCCACCATATCCAAATCTCCGGGAAAACAACAGGGCACACGGCCGTCGCTATCGTTCTGCCCAAAGAAACCGTTTGAACCGTTCCCTCCATCCCCTCCGCGTGGGAAAACCTGCTATGTCAAAAGCCATAATGATTTCAAGACTGATGACTCAAAGTATATCCTGGATGCGATCACGGAATGCAACCATGGTGGACATGTTATTTTCCCTGAAGGAATGACATACGTCATCGGCACGGCCTTGAACCTGACCTTTCTCGAGCATATAGACTTGGATATCCGAGCCTACATTCAATTCACGAATGACACCAATTATTGGCAGGCCAATGCGTTCTATCAAACGTTCCAAAATGCAACCACATTCTTCCAACTTGGCGGCACAGACGTCAATGTTTATGGGGGAGGCATGCTTGACGGCAACGGACAAATCTGGTATGACCTTTACGCAAAGGACATCTACATCCTCCGCCCGATCCTGTTTGGCACAATCGGCCTGCATGGAGGCTCAATCTCAAACCTCAACTTTCGCTATTCGCCACAGTACTATAACTTTGTAGCAAACAGCACCAATGTGGCGTTTTCCAACATAACCATCAGCGGGTACAGCGCAAGCAACAACACCGCAAAGAACACTGACGGATGGGACACTTATCGCAGCTCAAACATTGTCATCCAAGACAGCGTCATCAACAACGGCGATGATTGCGTCAGCTTCAAGCCAAATAGCACAAACATCCTTGTGCAGAATTTGCATTGCAATGGCAGTCACGGCATCAGCGTCGGGTCACTGGGTCAATATAAGGGAGAGATCGACATTGTTGAGAACATTTATGTGAGTGATCCAGAAACCTCGCAAGCATCCGAAATCTTAACCCGTCAAAGGTCACAAACATAGCCATGTCAAATGCCTCAGATGGAGCTCGCATCAAAGTCTGGCCTGGCGCACCAACTGCTCTTTCTGGAGATTTGCAAGGTGGCGGAGGTGGCGGCCTTGTGAACAATGTTACTTACGACGGCATAGCCATCACAAATGTCGACTATGCTGTGGAAATTACGCAGTGCTATGGCCAAAGCAACCTTACATTATGCAACGAGTATCCATCTAACCTTACCATCAGCAACATCAACATCATGAATGTGCATGGCACAACAAGCAAGAAGTATAACCCTATCAGTGGCTATATTGTTTGCAGCAGTCCAGGAGTATGCAGCAATATCACGCTGGAGGACATTGCTGTCGTTAGTCCATCTGGCACAGAAAATGAATTTCAGTGCGGAAATGTCAATGAAAGCTTGCTACAAGGAATCAATTGTACTGAGGTAGCCGGCTTGAGAGATTTGAGCGTTGGATAAGGCTTGAAGTGCCGGCTCAAGTAATGTACTGTTAATATCTCTACTAACTTTAATACGTCGAAAGTTAAGGGAACTTTAATCCTGTTGAAATCATATCTTTAATTTTTTTTTTGTCGAATTAGGAGCCTTATACTATGTATCATGATCACGTTACCCTAAGGGGTTGTGTTAAAGGCGGATGGTCTTCTTGGGGTCAATCAGGAACGTGATTTCATGTAAGATAGTCGTCAGTTGTGTGGAGAATGATGACGAGATTGCGGGCAGAGGTAGCATACAGTAGGACGGAAGTGTGGATTGCACAATGATTGCCGGGAAAAAGATTTTTCCCAAACTAGAAAGCTATATATCTCAGGTGCCACTCCAAGGTTTTTCTGGTGCTTGGGCAGTGATGGATTAGTTGCGCAGCTGGTCTTTTACGCAATGTCACCTTATGCAGATGAGGATTGCTCACAAAATTAGGCTACACTAGACCCAATAAGCTAGCATTGCTAGGTGACGTAACATGTGTACCCCGATAAATACGCTTCTAGACTAAACACATCCCTTATCAGCAGAACTCTCTTAAACTGGGATATTGACTGATCTGCATTGAAACTGTATATACAACTTGTAGATCATTAGCTAACTTGCTTTCTCCAGCTCGTAACAGTATGTCCAGATTGGCATTGGTTCAATACTCTCATAGCAGCCTTAAGAAACCAAAACGGCTTTCAACAGCAGATTGAAAATTGACGGGTACCAGATTTAGGACATATTCAGGCTAAATTTACAACCCGTAAACGAAAGTAAGCTTCTTGTCCGAGTATCGAGTATCATTGACTCGTTCGTATGCAATCTCCTCATTAGTCATGTGCGCCAGCTTCTCGCGTCTATTCCGGTTTACGGCTGCTAAGGTGAATCGGTACGATAAGTATCCGAGAAGTGCGGCGGCAACGAATCCAAGAGTAGCATAGAAGGGGAGTCGGTAACCCGGAGCATACTTTGATTGGTAAAGTTGTGAACCGATAACACCAGCAAAGTTGCCAAACCCATTGACACCGAGGACAAGAGCGCGCATGCCAGGCTCCGGAGTATTTCCGCTGAGCCAAGCAACAGTTAGCGGCGCGGAGACGTAGCTGCCGAACGTAAGGATGCAGAGACCTGCATACTTTCCGCCACTTGAGCTAACTGTCACCGTGACGATGAGGCCGACGAGACAGATGAGCAAGCCAGCAAAGATGTGGTAGCCACGCTCATTCCTGGTAGACGTTAGACGAGGCTTCAAAAATTAGTCAGAGTGCTAACTTACCGTCTGTCAGAGCTGAAGGCGAAAAGGTAGAGTCCAACAGCGCCGCAAATATAAGGAGGAACGGACATCAGATTTGCGCGGATAGACTGGAAGCCTAGTCCTTCAACGACAAGTGGCAGGAAGACAGAGAAAGCTTGACTTGGTACACTCGCGCAAATATTGAAGAACAAGACAAACCAGAGTTTCCAGTCTTTGGCAGTCTCAATCACGTCCCGCCTCGTCAAACGATCGCCCTCGATGCCACTCTCCTTGTACGTGTGCTTGACATACATCTCATTGTCGATTCTGATTCGCTCTGCAGCATAGGCTCTTTCTTCTTTGTTCAAGAACCATGCAGAACCAGGGCCAATTGGCAACCAGAAGACGGCAATAATGGCGAAGAAGGCAGTTATGGATCCTTCGATGATGAACAGATACTGCCAAGTGTGGAGAGGAGCGTTCTTGATCTGGAAAACACCGTATGCGATGGCGCCAGAGAATGCACCAGCCACCGCATATTGACCGTAGAAGAGACCAATTCGAACAGCGAGGTCATAGCGAGTGTAGAAGAACGAAAGGTACGCTACTGCTGTTGGGTAAAAGCCAGCCTCGAAGACACCAATGAGCAGACGGGTTCCAATGAGAGCGCCGCGTCCCTTGATCCAAGCTTGACAGACGGTAATTATTCCCCAACAGAACTAAGATGCTTTAGTATAGCAATTAGCACGATAACTCGTTAGCCTTACCATAAGGAATGGAATCCAATACTTGGCTCCAAGCCATCTACCGATGGCAGCAGACGGTGGTTGGAAGAGAATGAAGGTAATGAAGAAGAGCGAAGTAGCAAGGTTCAAGTCGCTAGACTTGGCGCCAATATCCTTTGTAAATCCTAAGAAACTAATTTAGCACTTGTGTACCGAGTGACATGAGGATTCGGATTTACCTTGAGTTTGAGCATTTCCTACATTACCACGGTCCAAGCCATTGAAAAGATATAGGAGAGCTAGCATGGGAAGGAGGAAGATATCCAGCTTCAAATTTAGGGCCCGGTTTCGAGCCTTCTCCTCAGGCGTCTTCCCAACAAACCCTGTCGGAGTATTATCCTTGAGCTCTATGGCAATGGGTGCCTTCATGTGTCTGCTATCCATTCGGATTTCCACAGAACTAGAGTCTGCAGTATGAGCCGTCATATTGCACGAGTAAATGAAGATTTGATGGTGTCCTGAAGATTTGGTTCGAAGGAAATGAAGATGAACAAGGAAACTATTATAGACTTCGTTATGCTATACATTGTATGAGGAAGCTGACAACCTTGAGATGAGTCTTCGGCACCCTAACCGAGTTGGACGTGCGAGTGAATTACGCGAACAGTTGACACCGTGGTGTGGACCGTTGGAGGCTGGCAGGCCAAAAGGTGTATAGTGCACGGAAAGCGGCCCCGAGCAATCAATTTTACCCCAGAAAAAACTTGGGAAGCATCATGCATATGCGATGGGGAAGCTGTTCGCTCAATTTTCTAGCCTCCACTACCCCAGAAAGTTTCAGTAGATCTCGTGTCTAAAAACTATGAAAAAGTGATCGTGACCCCTCGCGCGATTCCAAAAGTGGGATAGATCCGGGTACTGTACCCGATGCCTCCACCCTTCCCTGCCTTTTTGGGTTTAAGCTGCTTGAAAGGGAGATGCAATTGATGGCTGTTGCAATATATTTTCGTTCTAAGAAGTACAAATGGCGCTCTGTGGCTGGATTGCAGCTCTAGAGAGCAACCTAGGTCTGAACGTAGAACTAAGGATCAAAACTTTCTCTCTGGGTGGAATCATACGTACATCCAACAATCCACAAAATGAAACCAATGGAGTTCGATTTCACGAAGCAAAAACCTTCGAAAACACTGGATATTGGTTTGAATGGCACCAATGTTTCTGCTGACCCTTTTGGGCGAGTATGTAATGTTTGATATGTCCTTAGTAGTGCACTGGGGAACTAACCACTGTTTAGATGTTGCAACTGAGCACATTTCACCCTGAACATGGTATCATAGTTGCTGCCCCATACGAACAATTCGATGGGAGCAGGTTCTATGAGCCACAGTACGTACGAGCTTACCGAGCTCGTATGCTGAAGATGATTCGGTCAGGCAAACCAGGCTTTGGGGTTCGATTTGATAGAAACTCGCACCAGGTAGCCATTGAAATCTGTGACATAAGCACAGCGATATTCAAGTATCATCTTCACGAGCATGTCACTGTCACCATGACACTTAAAATAGACGAGACAGGCAGCGTCATTCAACATGCGATCATCTCATCAACAAGCTCGGAACCGATGCAAATTCCTTACATATGGGACCTGGGAATTAGTATCAATCGCGCATCTTACGGCCAATTGACAGAAGGCGGGCCAATACCAATACCACCTCTAGAGAATGATTTCCAAATCTTGGACCAAGGAGATCGCTACGCAATCGTCAACAAACACCTCAACTCTCATTTGGAAGGAAGTCTTTGGATCGACGGCACTGCTGTGAAGATGGCTAAGCCCATGAACGAAACCTTCGTCGGAAGACCGGTGTCTATCAGTTATTCACGTATGATTGAAGTTCCTGCCAATTCTTCACGGACGATACTTGCAAATTTTCATCTGTACCCAGACGTTAACGTTCGAGAAGGGCGTGAGGCAGTGCCCAACAGGCAAATCCCACCGTCGCTTTCATCTCAAAGCTGGACTCCCTTGGAAAGCGACGCGCTTTTCATAATCAGAAGGAACTTAGACTATTTCTTGGGAAATTGCACATTTCCAGTCTCTGAAACCGAAGTGGCTGTAATAACGGACCATGTTGCCCTGCCGCTTGGTTGGAATCGAGATAACTAGTAAGTGTTGGTGAACGATCTATTACTTACATATGGCTCACAGAAATGTAGCTGGCAGATCAGGTTCTCACTGGACATCCATCAGAATGCTGGTCGGCTTATGGATGCGGTCACTGCGAAGAGATATCAAACAATGATCCATCGGACTGTAAAAGGTCACCTAAATTGGGTTTTTCGCCGCGCTCAACGTCCTCACATCTTCTGGCATCGGTCCTATTTGATTACAGGTCGACCCAAGGATGGACCTGTCTTTCAGCTTGACCAACAGTGTTATCCGTTGCTTGAGCTTTGTGATTTCTACGATGCATTCCCAGAAGAGGCCACGTTTGCGAAAGATATTTGCATGGAGAAGACCTTGTCAGATATCATAACGCTGCTCAAATCTAAACGCGACCCGAGCACAGGTCTGTTTCCTACAGATGAAACACCTGGAGACGATGCTGTGGAGTTTCCGTTTCACTTCTCAAGCCACGTCCTACTTTGGCACACTTTTTCACGGCTGCATCGGCTACTGGATACGATTGGTCTGAAATCAATAAGCAGTAGGTTGGACTTGAATGAAGTTGCGCAGGACATCCGCCGCTTGACCATACACCATTTCCAAACAACAAATAACCAGACTGGCAGGTCGCTATTTGCGTACTTGACGAATGGAGTGGATAAAGCAACTCTCTACCACGATGCCAACGATATTCCAACTCTCTTCGCACCGGCTTGGAACTTCGTGCATACGGAGGAAGAATATCAGCTTTGGAAAAACACAATGGAGTTTGGACTTTCTCAAAATAATGAGAAGGGATATTTTGTCGGTGAACCGTTTGGTGGTCTTGGAAGTGTTCACACTCCTGGACCATGGCCCCTTGGCTATTTTCAAGAATTCGTTTATGCTCAACTCACAAATTCTTCTGAAAAAGAGCAGGATGCATGGCGTAGAATCAAGGGTGCGATGCAGTGGGACGGATTGTTCCCCGAAGCCGTTGACTATCGGACTGGAGAATGTACGAGTAAAGCATGGTTTAGCTGGCCGGGATCTATGATTGGAGGTGCACTTGTCAGGTCGAAATTGATATGAAAAGATCTAGAGCTAATATATCACGTTAATAAATAGATATAGCGCCATACATGATAAGATGAGGTCAACGTTGTATTTGAAGTGAAGAAATGCTAAGAAATGCTAAGAGTTGGCATCTAGAGCGCTGCATTGCGCTTGATGCGGCTCATATGTGATATAGCTGCAAGTCATCAACGCTGAGCCATGTGGTAAGTTCGCGATACATAGGATCTTGTTCGCGGACGGTGGATGGTAATGATGCGCTCTGCCCTGCGTTATCTGTATGCCACCTCACTCTTTGAGTTGAGCGTTCATCGATGGGATATACGTCAATGTGAGGACTTGTCTGGTTCTGAAGAAGGTCAGTATGAACTGGAGTCGATATTTGCTGGCCAGAAAATATATTCTGGCTTCCAAGCTTCTGCACAAGGAGGTTGAGATCGAGCAGGACTTTCGCGCAATCTGCTGCGTACATGTTGCCATTATTTGCCTCATTTTCAAACGCAGCAATGGCAAATGATATGCCAGATGCATCGGATGCGTCTTCCGACTCGAACAAGAGCTGACCCAGCTGAAGTATGACTGCAGCATTGAAGATGTTATGAAGACTTATGTGCATCAGATGATGGAATCGATCAAGTCTTGATAGAACTCGGCCCAAAGCTAGATTTCGTTTGGCCGCTGAGCTGCACTCCAAAATTTTGGAGAGATATGGATGAGATTGGATATCAAATCTTCCATTTATGAAACGATCAGCAACAGCCTTTTTAACCGCGACAAAATATATTGGACGTATAGTGAGGATGATGAGCTGAGACCAATTAGAGCTAAGTGTTACCATGTTTGAGTTCGCTCACCTGATTGTATGTCATATGGAGCTCACAGCAAGATTTGTCATCAGTGAGGCCATTCTCGCTTGTCTTGAGTTCAGGTGGAAGGTTTTGCGACCAGTTTGTCAGCATTTGTAAGGCATTGTCCACGAAGATGGACAGCTCCTCACCAGGGGCTTGTGAAGCGATCTGGTAGACGTTGCAGACAATATAATTCGAGATTCGTGAAAGCTCGATATGTGCGCTCAAGCCGGCAGGTGGAGGAAATTGACTGAAGACGTCAGTCTCTGAATGAGCTCATTGAGATACGCCATATGAGCTCACCGTGTATTCTCAGGAGGTCTCAGTTTGATAGCTAAGTCCGAAATTAACGGAGGTCGGCCCATGAGGATACTTAATCGACTATAGATAGAGATTGGCAACGAGCCTTGACTGCAATTCATCCTCTTGGACGTACCGTTCGAGAATATATATTGTCCAAAATATCCTCTTTCCTAGTTCATCTACCATCCAACCACGGTGGACGCCATGCATGATGAGAATATGTACTGCAATGCTGACATAAATATATGCTGAGTCTCTTCGGTTTCTTTCCATGAGGTAGAATGCAAGAAGCCCAAGAGATGCAACGTCACTGACCGTGATGTAGTCCAGGGGATTTTTAAGCAGCGATCGTGCTCTCGCAAAGTATGGATCTCCATGAGATGAATTTTCGTCTAGATTGGTAGTTCTTCGACATTGCGAAGCGAGAGCGAATGCGGCATTCAGAATTGCTAAGTCGGAAGAGATGTCGTTCCCAGTTTCGGCTCGAGTATTTTGCAGGACTTTATCCCAATCAGCCCAAAAGTATATTCCACCACACGGGAAGTCCCCAGTGCCATCTTGCGCCAAGTATCTGAACTCAGCCAGCATGATGGATGCCTCTGTTCTGGATGGAAACCAAAGAGGATCGACATCAGGGACAAGTAACGGCCTTGAATCGTGTGTCTGATATCGACCCAGAGATTTAATGAATGCTGTTTCCGGATTCTGAAGCCCAGTCCATGAATCGTTGAATGCTAATGGGGAGATTGTTGCCATGAACTCCTTGAGATAGTCGAGAAATACTGCACCAGATGATTCCCCTAAATAACGTACCGTTCCATCTGGATCCTGAAGAACACGGCCTTCGTTGGGCGAATACTGGGTGCCAGCAAAAGTATTCGCACGTGCGATACTAATAGAGCCTTGCGGACTAGCGAGCTCAGAGAATCCTTCTCTGCTGGCGATAGGTGTCATTTCGCCAAGCAGGCGTTGTAGTTCAGCGCATCTTGCTTTAAGACCAATGAACTCAGCACGGCTGACAGATATTTTGTCCTCTATGACTGGGTACGTGCAATCCCGATCAGCTTTCCGACAATGATAGCAAGGTTTCTCTCCGGAGCACTTAATGCGCCGCAAATTGCAACTATTGCATCTATAAACATGGTTAAAATGTCAGAATAATAGCAATATTAGGGGTTAAGTACGCTGTAACTACTCGTTTCCTCTTCTCAGGAGCAACCTTGTCTCGCCTTCGATGGGTAGGAAGACGCAGAGTAGGGGATTCAATTGCATCAGGAGATGGCGCCATATAATCCACTCATCTGAAGGGAGATACTAAACTAGCGTAAATTACCCTTTGGAACATTGAGTTTGTTGCTTTTTACTTGGGCTAGGAGTTACAGATAATTTCGGTTCGGAAGAGATGTTGGGTGTAGACTCCGCAACTTGCGCCACTGACAATCTGTCGCACTGTCCGCTAGCCTAAGCTAGGCAGTGCTCGTAATTGCGAATATATAGCGTTCAAATAGACAAAAAAGAAGCAATGACTGGTGTTAAAATGACATAATATGATTTATACTTATTATCACTTATCAGTGTAAAAGAAGATATGTTATTTATATGCATCAGTTCGTTCACGTGATTGATCACATGATATGCGATATATGCATGAGTTACTCCAAGGTTCTACAATCATGCCACTGTTACGTAATTAATCAAATAGTTGATTTTAATTAGCTATTTAAGCTTTAAAAAATGTAGAGCTAAATGAGTATAGCTTATAGCTCACATCATATACACTGAGACAACTCTCCAAATATATTACGGTGAATTTAAACTAGTATAAATGATATACCTTAAAACCCATAAGATCGTCCTTTATGGCATCCCTGCGCTTTATTTGTTGATTTATCTACCCCTAATTTCATCTACCCCTAATTTCATCTCAATCTGCTCAGTATGGATGGGAAATTGGACAGTTCCTCATATTTCATTCCATCTTTTCCCGACCACATCATACTGCTGAAGCTCTTTGTAAACGATTTATGGAAAACATGGGACTGCATTTACCCACCTTTTATGATTTGCACATAGAATGCCGCACTGGGGCTTTCTCAGTACCGGCACCATGCCTCCACTTTTGGGTAAGCGTTCTTTCTCATGTGTAATTGGTTGCATTTGCTGTTCTATGTGGCCAGCCAGAATCCTCAAACCTCTCCTCACTTTCTCTTTCCAATTCACTCTTATAGAATTAACGCCACTTTGGATAATACAATCCACGATATTTCTCTAACTCCCAGACCCCTATGAGCTTCACAGGCCGTCTGCTCGAATGTATCACCACACTGTTTATCGAAAGACAACTATCTCAGCCGCACGACTTCAGTGACTGGCTTATCGACCCTTGACGGCGTAACGCATCTCACGCTTTTGGGAGCGGAGAAAGGGATCTTGGGCAGGGTGATGATGATCACACTAAAAGCTACACACTAAGGAGTGAGTCTATAATAGCTTTAAGAGACAAATTGACAATAAGCTCGGTTTAGTGTAGCAGTACTAATAATTAATATTCAATATTTCGCTTTGAGATCAAGAGATATATGAACCCCGGCGGTATATAAGTATATATTTGTAGCGTTCGCTGCTTTAAGGCTATATTAGAAACTATAATTCAAATAATAAGCTAGATCAATTATTTTTTGGCTAAAAACAGGAATGCTTAATATCAGAGACATGGAGCAAGGAAAGGCACAGCCTCCACCCAAAATATTCCTCATGAACAGATGTCTTCTTAACGACACTGTCGTTACCAATGACCGCATGGAAAGCGCCGATTAGGATCCTCTGGCGATGGCCTCGGGGTGATCATCAAGCTCGCGGCCAAGCATGGAGCCCTTCTTGCATGCCTTATGCTCACGGAAGACAAGGTGACGCCGATTTGGCATGAACAGCAAATCAGGTTCCTCAAGGGTACGCCGCGATGTCCCAGGGAAATTCAAAATGGAAATGAAAGAGATAGAAAGATTAATAGATCTAAAGATATATTGTAACTTCCATGACGTTTTATTCGGAGCCTCAGAGATATAAAGTCCCAATCAGAATTTTACAAAACATGTTGTGCAGGTTGCCAATGCGGCTGCCCCGACCGCGTGCGTTCAGAGTGAACACCTTTTTCTCGTAGGTCCAGGGTATAGAAGCAAAGAAGGCGCCGAAGAATACCATGTCCAGGAACATAAAGTCGACTGTAGCATTGCCGGATAAGGTGTTCGGAAAGCTGAATTCTACCACTTGTGCGACTTGTTTAAACTGCGGAGAACCAAAGCCAATGATCGAGGAGGCGACAACGATCATGCACAAGCCTTTGCTAGACTGGCCGAAAATGAGCGGCTTACGTTGGTCGTAAAAGTCCATGAGGAGCTTGAGGGAAAACTCGAGATGAGAAGGACGGCGGAGCTGATGTCACTAGAAGAAATACCATTCGATATTGATTAATGTAACAGCATATTGACAAGTATATAACCTAGGAACGGGTATCCGATACTGGTGAATATGGTTCAACGCAAGAGGCAGCTGGAAATATGCAACAGCAGCTAGATGGTTGGCCAATATAAGCTAATATTTGCGAACACAAACTGATACTGGTCAAGGCTAGAGTTAAAGGAAATTAGCTTAACAAAATAGGATGTACTTACTTAAGCGATAATAGTAATAAAGAGCGCAGATGCTAGATAAGTTAAATTAATATTTTTATTAATAAAAGTTATATTACTTTACTTAATCTACTCTATTTTACGGTCTTTCATGGAATGAAATTCTCCGACATTTATATTGATTGATTTCTCTTCACATATAGCTGTAACATGGAACGAGACTTGTTGATTTTAGGTTGGCAATCTATTAGTTCCATTGTTCCCTGTGACTCCCCTTGCTATTTGGTCGTAGAAAATTCTCATCTAGGGATCTGAGCCCAGTGTTGGGACTCGAGATTCTTATAGCTCAATAGTAAGGGATAAAGGTCATGGCTCTCGTCGATCGTATGTCGATGATGAAGCGTATCGAGGTCATGCACTTTCCTGCAGCCCTTTGTAGCTTTAACTGCTGAAATCTTGAAAATATGGCTTGCGCTTTCAGTCGTGATAGCTAGAGACGGTAAATCATCAGTACTGTGAAGTTGCATCACCGTCAATCACGCGCATATTTTATTCGAGGCAAATTAGAGCAGATTTTCCGAGTAGTTTCTTGTGAGAAAGCGATGGCTCCACCCATGTGATGGTATCGGAAACTCTTTTGCAACCGCGCAATCATATTATCATGATTCTCTTTTTTAGGAAGCTTTCGTGTCTTGTTTCTGTCCTTTTTTGAACGCTCATACACTGTGTAGTTTGGAACGGGTAATCCATTCACTACTGCTGGGCCGCTTGTCGGCAATATGCAATCATTCAAGCATAATTTCAGCTTACCACGAGACCGGGTTCACATATGCTGAAACATTTGTGCTCATCCATGGCTCACTTTGTCTTAGGATTGATCAGCTGTCGCCGACTTATTGGTAATTTCCTCCGAAGCATACAACAGGTGGGAGACCCCAGTTCGGCCCCGCCCGAAGCTTCGATAACGTTATATCAAGCTGGGATTAGAACTAGCTCCCGAAAGTGGTCCCGGCAACCCCTCCGCATCAGTGCCTGGCGATCTCGGTCTCTTCAACTGAAGGCTTCACAAACACAAACACAAAACTCTTGCACCGAGTTGTTGGTCAAGCATCTTCAGGCCCCGAACTCTGATCTGCAGCTCTGGCCGAGATAACTGCTGGCTTTCAATGTGGTGCATCTAATTGCATCTATTTGGCTTGCTGTCCCCACAACTTTGGCGGCCTAAGTAACGTGAATCTTGGGCAGCTACCGAGAATCGGCATCAGCCACCTGGCGCAAGCATATGACCACGAGGCTCTCTTCGCTGGATTCAGAATTGTGGTAGCACAATCGGTGGTCAGGTTCTTGTTTGCATATCGATTGTGTCGATCATATCGATCATGACCCATGGAGGCTCTCCTACCATGGCCACTGAACCGCCAGCCAAACGGGCACGATTGTCCATGGCTTGCAACGAATGCAGGAGGAGAAAGGTGAAGTGCGACGCAATCTATCCCAAGTGTCAGAACTGTGCACGTCGCAATCATGAATGCTTCACCAGCGATTCTAGGCGGCCCAATGTGCCTGTTCTGCGTGAATGGATCGAAGACAGATCTTCCGCTGTGCAATCTTCGCCTGCTCCAACTGCACGAATCCAGGACGTGCTCAATCACTCACCAGCGGCAGCAATCCATCATGTAATCCATACACCAGCCGTTCCAACGTCTACCGTGGAGGAGGTTTCACCCCTGCAGCTTCCGTACGAGATGTCATTCAATGCAGACCGGCACAGTAACCGTATGAAGATGATGGGAAGCAGCAGTGCACAGTGTCTGATCAAGTCGCTTGATTTGTATCTTGAGAAAGCGGCGCTGAAACCAATTCTGCCTCATTTCCAGTATGGGTTAAGACACACCGAGGAATTGGATATCCCATTGATGGTATCTCTGCCACCTTTTCCTGCAGAACCTGAGCGCATTCTTTACCTGAGGCATTTCTTTTCAACTATCCACATGCTGTGGCCAATCTGCACCGTCGATGAAACAAAGGCAGCCATACATGCGCTAGCGTCCATTCAAGACTTCTCCACATTTACTCGTGACCATATACCTATGCTGACGCTCAGCTACCTCATTATGAGCCTTGGAGCTGACGAAGCGGCTCAAGGTCTCTCTGTGGATGGAAACAAATATCTGGTAGCAGCTACAACCTTGCTTGGCCACGTGTTAATGGTACCATACCTAGACACCGTGCAGGCACTGCTTGCTTACACGATTGCATATCGAGGACGTAGTAAAGATGGCTTGGCTTGGCAGATGGTTGGCATGGCCACTAGGATCGCTCAAACACTTGGTCTACACAAGTTTTCACTTCGTAATCCTTCCCTCGAACATGGAGTTACAGACAAGAGCCAACAGCAATTTCATGCTCGTATATGGGCGATCTGCTGCTGTTTGGAAAAATTGTTACAGCTTGAGGGTGGAAGGCCATCATCCATCTCGACTGTTAGCGATGACCAGCTCCTGGGTGACCAGAGACCTTTAGGCCGACCAAATTTTCTTCTCTGGAGCATGAAATTAGCCGAACACCAACACGGAATTTGTCGACATATCTACGGGCACAGACCTGGTGAGCGGTGTGCTGATGACATTTTGCAAATCACGGCCCATCTTGATGATGCACTGCTGAGCTGGTCAGCAATTTTGCCCCTGGAATACCAACCAGAGAACATCATGTTCTGTACAGACGAACATTTTCCGATCGCTGCCTTCTTGTGCATTCAATTTCACCAAGCGGTGATCACTTTGCATCGTGCCGCGCTAATCGCGCCTCGCGGACTCTTTGACACGGAAGTTGACAAGTATTGTCCCAACAGCCTGTCCAAATTTCGCATTAAAGGAGGTGAAACAATCTCAATGGATAGCGCAAGGGCTATTGTCCGTATAACTCTAGAAATTGCAGAGCGAGGGGTGCACTCTCGCATACACTCGTTGAGTCCGGTTATTCTCTCATGCATTGCCATAGCGATCTACTTGATGAAGCATCCTCAAGGGAAAACCCAGGGAGCAGATTTGGAAGTGAGTATATGCTGTTGAGGAATAAACATGTATGCTGACTTGGAAAGCTGCTTAAATCTGGGCTTGAATTCACTAGTGAGCAATACACGGCCGCTGGCCAGGATCACCGGGTTGTGAAGGGTAAGACTAGTTGCGAGCTAAGCATACCATGCATTATTTAAACACAATTCTACCAGGTCTCGCATCCATATACGATAAAGTTCGATCTCATTTACATAAACAATCAAGTAAGGAATCCCGCGGGCAAATCCAAGCGGGATACGCGCAAACGGCACGCAACAAAACCAGTTTCTATAACAAAAACATCGGCAACAATGAGACCGACTCGTCTATTTCGCAAAAAATCTCACAGAGCACTTCAGAAATGCAGTTCAACCAAGCCAGGGACTCTGTGGAGCCTGATCTTCGTGGGCCACGATTAAGCAATACTGCGGGCGGTCAAAGTCCGTCCGACCAGACGAACAGTAGCTATCCTGCGATGGCTAGCTCCAATAACATGCCACCAAACTGGGGCGGTGCTGTACTTGCCAGTCTTCCGCAATCTTTCCCTTCACAATCTACGAACAATGCCATAGATGGCTCTATATCTAATAGTGAGCTTGGCAACGGCGACCTACCATTCGACCAGTACAGTATAATGTCTATGTGGGATTGGATGGTGTGAGTCTTACTTCTATCAAAAGTCACACCACTGGTTCATTCAAAGATCTTGTGCGACACAAGAACCACGTCCATGCCTGGGAGACTGGAGCACGCAGCGCAAAATCTTACATTTCGAGAATATTATGAGGTCCTAATTGCATTTATAGGGACTCCATAGAACTACGAGGTATCGCTTAAGGCTGAAATTAGCGCGGAGCCACACGAAGCCTTTTAGAGAAGACCGAAGAAGGACCGCCATCCTACGGCGTAAACATACACAACAACCTATATGAATGGTAGAATGATCGAGCTTGGGTAATCGCCCCCACAATGGATCTTATGTTGTCCCCGGTTCAGCTCGTGCTCGGGCCTTGGCCCGGAGAAGCTCTTGTACTCTGCGATGCTTGGGAATTGGCCACCAATCTACGCAGGTAAGATTAGCTTCGCAGTCAAACTCGATATCAGCCTAAGACTTACCCTCATTGAAAGCGTCTCGCCAGCATCAAACTGAACACTCATAGCCCAAATTCCTATCTCCATCCTGATGATTGTCCCCGCGGGCACCATCTCCTTCTTTGTGTGGGGATGGAAGGGGAATTGTGGGTGCATCGACCTTGACGGGTCAATAGCCCGGTGTGATGCTCTCAAGATACCGACACTGCCAAGGAAAAGATTGGTGCTTGACTGTTCCTTTTCCGGTATCTCATCGATGGATTTGACTGGCGTTGCTGCGAAAGGAAATTGCAAATGCATCAAAAGTTTCCCGTTCTTATCCTTCTTGCGCAGAATGATGAATGTCGTGAAGTCATCCCGCGCATCGCATGACATGTAAAGGATGGCTTTTGGTAGGCCAATCAGGCGCGCAGGTTCATCGAAGGTATAATCGAATACTGCAAAGTCCTTGTAGTCCTCAGAGTTGTACGTGGCAATTTTATACTCCTGGTTTTCTGTTTTGAGCTGACCATCGTGAAGGTAGAACTGACGGTATGTTGTAGTCGGGCTCGGGAAGTCTTCCAACACAATGTTATCGATGGCTTCTCGGTCACCGAATCGCAAGACAGACCACCGCACCTTTGGTGTCTTCTCCCAGTCATTCTCTATGCCTTTCAGGTATCTGTCGAAAAATTTGCCGAGTTCGACGTTCGACTCCGGCACGCTGTACAACTCGTACCACTCCTGGTAGCTGCTCCATTGGATCCATTTATGTGAATGCGGAATTTCGAGGTAGCCACGAATCGACCCCATAGTATGGATTGAAGACAGGTCAGAGCCTCGAATATATGCTGGACATTGGATCTTGGTCATGTCGACTCGCTTGTCTTCCCAGTATGCATTTGAAATATTCGACCGTCGATACATCTCTTCAAAATCTTCCAATCCTGAGTTCTCTTGACCACGGACAATGGCTTTGCCGATAAGATCAAAGTTGCTCATGGTGAACCAGCCTCCACGACAGAACTGCTCTCTGAAAAGATCACCTGATCCTTCCCACGGGGCGATGGCTTTGAGTGATGGAGGCTGTTGCGCAGCTATGAACCATTGCGAAATAGCCAGTGCTGAATTGCCAGCCATACCAACCGCGCCGTTACACCAACTCATCTTTGCTACTGCTTCCACAACGTCGTAGCCGTCCTCAGCATCTTGCGTACCCATGACACAGATCTGGCCGTCGCTATTTCCGGCACCTCTTGTGTCGACTGAGATGATGGCGTAGTTCTTTGGACACCAGTACTGAGGATCCAAGCCTTCGAACTTTTCCAATCCACTCAGATCGGAACGTTTTACGCAACAGCCCCACGTAGTCATGGGTAGCATGTCGAGCGCAGAGTACTTCTTCCCATAAAATGACCAGCTGAGAATGGCCGGCACCTTCGCATCTGTATTGGCTGGCCGGTAAATGTCGATGTACAGGCGAGCTCCATCACGCATGACCACCTCCACATCATGCTCCACGATGATATCCGATGTCAAACTGAGAGCATCGGCGAACTTGGGCGTTGAACCAGCGCGATAAATGTCCACTTGTCCAGGTTTGAATCCAACGTATCCATTTTCGCCAATCTTAGGCGGTTGCACTCGCTTAATTGCGACTTGTACAGGAGGCGGCATGATGTCTACTGTTCCTCGATAAGTAGAAGAAAGCTTTTGGAGACGATGAAGCTATGAGACTCTTCCTGCAATTCATCGGAGCATACATGTATCATCTGCAGCCTTAGTGTTGTCGTCTCTTATTCTTTAAGATGCTCTGATTGATTATTCCCTGCGCCTGACTCGCGATTCGGCGAACTTGCCGCCAAGGGTTTAGAGGTGGTTCGGCGTGTTAGTGCCCGAAAACTCCAGGGTTCACCTCGGAGGCTCCCGAACCCAATAATTCACTGCGATGTTTCGGCCAATTGTGAGTATGGATCATTGCAGTGCTTGGATCGGAACTTGTCTGGCTTGTAAGTCTCAATTTCGCTCTATATATGCTGATGACTGGCATCCTCTTTCAGCATATCCATAGTGAATAAAAAGCTGTCGTATCTCGTTTCAATATTACGGAATTATACTCAAGACAAAAATCCCTAAATGTCGTCCACACTCACAGAGTTAGAGTCTACTCAAAACCTTGTCGAGTTTGAACCCCGCGAATATGGAGACTGGCGCGACGAATTTCACAAGAATGGCTGCGTCTTGATCAAGAACGTAATAAGCAAGGAGCGAGCTGCATACTATGCCCAAAAACAACTTGATTGGTTGAAGAAATTTGACCTAGGCTTCGATGAGAACGATGAGAGCACGTGGACTGCGGAGCATCTCCCAGTGTCATTCAAGGGCGGGTTAGGGAAACACCAGAAAATTACAAGATTCCTGTTCAGAGCTGACGAACTACAGAATGTATTTCTCTTATGGATCAGCCCACGAAAAGATGGCTTGGGAAGCCAGAATGGAGCCAAAGGTTATCGAAATTTTCGAACAGCTCTGGGAGACTAAGGAGTTAATTGTATCTTTCGACGGAATGAACATCTCTCTACCGCGTCGAAAGGATTTGCAATGGAGCCGTAAGACCTCTCTCTTGCTGGAAAACAATCCAATGCTTACTTGCCGTAGCCTGGCCACACACTGATCAAAACCAGCGACGAAAGGGAATGCAGGCAGTGCAAGGTCTGCTAAATTATGCGCCTAATGGCGATAAAGATGGTGGTCTCGTGCTCATGAAGGGCTCCGCAAAGTTGTTTGATGAGTTCTTCAAGGTGAAGCGCGAAAGTTATGCGCACGAAGATGCGCCGCCACCTGAACTCGAGGTAATTACGACCTCTTTCGCGAATCTGCACAGCTGACATCCGGTAGTACATGGATCTATTCCTCTTCTCGGACAAGGATGTGAAATGGTTCGAAGAGCGGGGGTGCGAACTCATCAAGATAAATATGGAGCCAGGCGACTTCGTGCTTTGGGACAGCAGGACGATGCACTACGCCAAGTTGCCTGAAGGCAACCAAATCCGCCATGCGCAGTACATCTGCATGACTCCCCGGAAGTTCGCTAGCGAACAGACAATCAAATTGCGGAAAGAGTGCTTCGATAACTTCTATGGAACCACGCATTGGCCACACATGTAGGTGCTTTGACTACTAGCTCCTGACCTCTGCTAATTGGAATCGGCAGCAATGTCCGCCCGTCAGACGAGATGCCAATGAGAAATGGTGAAGTGTGCCCAAAGTATAGGAAGGAACCGTTTGAGAAGCCAGAGGTCACTGATCGGATGCTTCAGCTCGTAGGGGTGAAAGAGTATTGAAAAACCATTTGACTGAATGTAAAAAATTGCACTCGAAATAAAAGAACCATAGTGATATAAATTCTCTTCGGTGTGAAACTCCTATATGGTGGCCAGCTCCGTGAAGATTTGATATGCGCCGCTTGACTGGAGGCTGGTGGTCATTCTGGAGACGTACAGTTGGTTCCATCATAGACAACTATAGCTTATTTGACAAAATGCTGTGACTGTCACTCCATTGAATTCAATAAGACAAAAGGAGCTAACGAGATGTGTTGACAGCGTATCTGCACTGGTTTCGTTCAGATTTTAGGGGCCAATTCAGAGTGCCTATCTCAATAGCGGAACATTCTGTTAAATCAGAACAGAAACGAATTTATAACATGAATCATTTTTCTGTATGGTGTTTTTACCACAGGATCAACAATAATAAGTAGCGTAGTCTGACCTTAGGTATGAATACCCGACGCAGCGATTTCGCTTTATGGAGTTGACGATGTGCTTTCACTTATGATACGCCCTCAGCATTAACCTCATCTTCGGATTCGATCTCTAAATCTTCATTGAAGCTAGTATCTACCACGCGTCGAACCGTAGATATATCCGAACCGAGTGTTGCGTCTCAAAGAACGAAGCGACATCCAAAAACCATTAAAATGACCTCATCCGGTGCAAATGTGGGGTCCTCGGGGGCCCATCCCCGCATTCTTCCCCGAAGGAGCCCCATGGCACATTCCCCACGAAACTTCTCAGTAGGCTTTCAATCCGGGCGCCATACTGGAAAAGCATCCCGAGCGTAGGCTCGAGAACCTTAGTCATTGCAAGAGGTGCTCGGCCCAATGTGGGCTCCAATCTTAGTCCGACGATCATTGAAAGTTCCCCATGCGTTCCAATCGGCCCCGTAACTCCACAAGGGGATTGAGCCTGGACACTGCGAATCAGTATATCGAACTCGAATATGACCCAAACGAGATCCGAATCCGAACCGAGATATGAGGTCCATCCGCAAGCCATCGTTCAGATTCTGTAACTACAAAGCCCCGGTCGATCCTGACTTTAGGCCGATTGGCATTGTCTCCCTCTCTCACCTCAAAGAAGCATCTGCGTAGCAGGCGTCTTTTTACGTTCCAACCATTAGTCACGATGGAAAAAAGTGTTGTCGAGAGCATTGAACGTGTCCAGACCTCGGCGTCGGAATTAAACAAAGATGGCCTCGATCAAGTTCGTACGATGGGCACGGTCAAGCTCACCGATGGAGAGATCATCTATATCCCTATGCCAACTGCAAACCCTCAAGACCCCCTGAACATGAAGGCATGTTCCTCGAATGATGCGTACAAATCGAAGTCGGTAGACTGATACGTCCTCAGATTATGCAGAAATTCACCATTACTGTCCTGATTTCGATTTTTTCAACGCTCGGTCTTTCTCTAGTCTCTGGATTTGGAGGACTTTTGGGTTTCTATATCCCAATCTACGCCAAGGAAGGGCACGGAAGCTATGAGGAAATATCTCGTCTTTTAACCTATCCAAGTTTGTTCATGGGCATTGGTAATCTGATTGGCATCCCGTGAGTTGTGTTTAAGTGCAAGATCAAGGCCAGATCTAACTTAGTCCAGGGTATGTTAACGGAATAGATGTAGCTGCGGGACATGCTTTCTTGCTGTGACGCTCGTCCGCATACAGATGAAGAGTATGACAGCTGATTCTTGGTAGATATCCATAGCCGTTGGACGTAGAGTTGTCCTGCTTGGCTCCTCTTTGATCCTTATACTTGGAGCCGTCTTGAGCGCCAACGCTAAGTCGTACGAGTGGCACCTTGGAGCTCGTATGGTACTCGGCCTCGCTGCAGGGCAAAGCGAGGCCGTGGTTCCCATGATCGTTCAGGAGATATATTACTTGCATGAGCGGTCTCGTGGGTTGATGATCCAGCAAACCATCCAAGTGACTTTAAGCACCATTTGGATCTTGTTCGCAAGCCCCATTGCAAACAACATTGGTCCTAATGGATGGTACTACCTTGGGGCCGGCCTTGTCGCTGCCCAGTTCTTATTGTGCATTCCTCTTCTCCCCGAAACCAAATTTGAACGCGACATGGAAACTTTCCAAGAAGACGGTGACCAGAGTGGTTCGGAGGATGTTGAGCACGTTAAGGAGAAGGTTGCGGCAACACATGCTACAGCGCGTCCTCCCCTAGATTATGTTAACTTTGCTCCCCGAACCTGGAAGTCTGATAGTGAGTACTCGATGGTTTCATTTGCGATTTGTCTCTAATATTTTAGTGCGTCTGTGGGTTGGCACACCTGATTGGGCGAAAGCAGGCCGCGTCTTTGTCCAAACGTTCACTATTATGCTATTTCCAAACGTCTTCTGGGCTATGCTCTTCAATGGTCTGACTTTAGGTGTGAACATTGCCATCGGTACCACGTACGGAGGCATTGTAACTTCGCCACCGTACAGCTGGGCTCAACGAAGTGCATCTTACGCCAATTGTGGTCAGATTGTTACCGCCCTTGTCGCCTTACCTGTTCTTGGATATGCTGTCGATCATTTTATCCAATGGAAAGCGAAGAGAAACAACGGTGTTCATGAACCTGAAACTCGCCTGGTGCCATTAATACTGACTACCGCTGTTGGTATCGTCAGCGCTGTACTTTATGGCCAAGCCGCGCAGCATCCCGAAAAGTACCACTGGTTTACCATCGTTTTCGCCATCGCCGGTTATTACTTCGCCTTTGTTGGTGCAGCGATGGCTTGTATGACCTATCTGTAAGTATCTCTGCTATTTCGAAACCTGTAGCCAATGATTTGCTCAGATTGGACTCATATCCCGCTCGCGCTGGATCGACCCTGATCTGCGTTTGTGCGTTTCGTGGTGTTATTAGTTTCGGCACATCGTACGCCATCCAGCCATTTATCAACACTGCTGGTTACGACGGATCATTTGGGGCTTATGCTGGAATGACCGGCGGCATCGCTTTGCTTGGTGTGCCAATCTATTTCTTCGGCAAGCAAATTCGAGCTTTCACAGGGCGGTTTGCGAAGGCCAAGAAGACTGGCTGACTGGAAGGCGTCTAGTCCAGCAGGAAGTAAAGTAATCGTCAAAGCTTGAAGCTTAGTGTTGAGAATGTAATGAAGAAGCATATGTATGCATACAACAACCAGAGCAAGCCATTCTCAAATGTGCGCGTAGGCGCATGAAACAATGCTTTGACGTTTTGTACGATTTATAATTGCTTTATTTTTCTGACAAACTATATAACGCAATGCAAACGCGAAAATTCAGCATTCTAAAAATGATATCATGATTGTGTAGAGCTGCCTTCGGCCTCCTCATCCGCTTGGTTCTTTGCCGAAGTTTTGCCAATAAGAATTGTGCTTATGAGCATTAAACCACAGAAACCCGAATAAAAAATCCAGAGTTTGGAAAAGCCTGAAGCATAACGGTCGATATCGGGATGTGTTGGTAGGTGGCCGACATTGTCGACGGCCCATGTGCTTAGGGTATTTGTGTGAATTGTCGATTGCAACACAACGCCTCCACATACGACTGAAACTGCGCTTCCAAGGCTTCTAAGAAATGTGTATGCAGATATTCCAGCTGAAATTTCTGTGGGATGTAGGTGATGTTGCATGGCGATCATGGGACTTATGAACATTGTACCAGCGCCCAAAGCAGCCAGGAGCTGATACACAATCAACTTCGGCCACTCCGTAGTCGATCCGAAATTTATGAACAGGCCAGTACCAAGTGTCATAACCATCGAGCCGAACCACATAGGCTCTCGAAATCTACCGGTACATTTGATGAAGATGCCTGTACCGCTTGCAACGGCCGACATTGTCACAATCAATATCAGAAGATAGAGAGCAGAGTGTAAAGGCGACGCCCCAAGCACGGCTTGGAAGTATAGTGGAAGGAAGAAGTCGTAGGCAATGAATGCGAATGTATGGGCGAAGGATGCTGACAAGATGGCCAGTTTCGATCTTCCTTGGAACACTGCGAGCGGTATTAGTGGCAAACTAGGGATGTTCCACTCGTAAGGTATGAATATCGTTAAAGCAACTACGCCAGAAAGTAAAAGCCCTAGCGTGTACCCTGAGGTCCAGGAATAGGTCAAGCTGGCTCCACCCTCGAGGCCACAGAGCAATAATATTGTCCCACCCACAATGAGAATCGAGCCGCCCCAGTCGAATGTCTTAAAAGCGTTGCTGATTTTTGCCTTTTCGTATTGAGTTTTGTGATAGAGATTAGAAGTAAAAGGGATAGTCCTGCAAATGGCAGGTTGATGTAATCTGTTATTGATTAGCTACGGAATATGAACATGAGTAGGTGTGTCTTACAACACCATTGCCACCCAATTGTCTGGGCGAAGATGCCGCCGAGAATGGGACCTAGGCCGCTCGCAACGGCGATGTGTACCCGTAATACTTCGCTCGGAGCTTAAGTGGGAATATGTCTGCAATGATCAGTTGTATGAATATCTGCATGCCTCCAGCCCCTAATCCTTGTATTGTTCTTCCAGCAATCATCATGATAGGGCTCTTGCTAAGAGCTGCAAGCACACTGCCGCCCATAAAACAGAGCTTAGCGACAACCAACAGCAGCTTACGACCTACGATGTCTGAGCAGCGTGCCCACAAGGGTGTGCATGCCGTAGACGCTAATGTGTAGGATGCGGAGACCCAAGTGTACTCTGCAGCAGTGGCATGCAGGTCTCGGGTGATGCTCGACAGCGCTGTGGACACAATTGTAGTGTCCAGTGCTGGAAGGAATTGTGTGAGACAAAGCGAGAATATGATAAGGATTAGCGTAAAGCCTTTTGGTGCTTCAAGCCCATCTTTCAGGCCATCGGACTCCTCTTTAGTCTCTGTATTGGACTTCTCAACTTCATTTACGGCATCGTCCAGTGTAAATTTTCCCTTACTGATGACTTGTTTTGTTGTATAGCTTTTTTCATTGGAGATTGTTGTGGCTAACATGATTATTACATATTTGAAGTATTTACTGCATCTCTTATGTAAAAAAGAAGTATGAAGCAAGAAGTGTAACAGAGTAATAGTGCAGAATTATAAAACCAAAAAAGGGATTGATATGCTTTAAAGATGTCAGCTTGCACCGCATTGCCCCGAACTTGGCTCAGCGCTAAATTCGGAGCCACCCGTACGTCACAGGGCAAAGCCGAAGATGATGAGATAAAGGAAATCTGCATACTCAAGTATTGTATTGTGAATCGCGTCGTGGTTTCAATTTTTCCTAGGGTGTCCCACGGTACGGTACGGTACGGTATGGTATTTACCTATGGCTGCTCAGATTTGTCCTACAGGATTTGAGATTTGTCCTACAGGATTTGAGATTTGTCCTACATGCTACTCGTAAAATAAAATAATCGCCTAATAAAGCCTAGTAAACTTATTCTGCCGTAATACCAGCATAACGCGTTTATAAATTATAAACTTCAACCTTCTTATAGTAGCTATAATGGATAGAATCTGTGAGGAACTGAGTGGGAACATACGCACGTGTTAGGAATACTTTCCAAGTACCGACTAGCTTCACTAATATGAGCCACTTCGGAAGGGATTAGCTTCCTAGAGCAAAGGAACTGTTACGGCGTACTTGTCAGTACGGCCAGGGTAACATGGGTCATTGCCCAGCAGTGCCAAGTGGCAGTCTCAGTCTTGGCATGTGAGACTTTCTGCACCAGTCTTAGCCTTGGTAGATGAGACTGTATGCACAAGTCTCATCAGGAGCGATTAAGACTTGATGATAAGGAATAGAAAATAGGTCTATATAAGGAGGGCTACGCTTAAGTCTACGCTCACTATAATTCAATTGTCTAGTATAGCTAGTAGTTAGTCTGAATATATTTGTTACGGCGTACTTGTCAGTACGGTCAGAGTAACATGGGTCATTGCCAAGCAATGCCAAGTGGCAGTCTCAGTCTTGGCATGTGAGACTTTCTGCACCAGTCTCAGCCTTGGCAGATGAGACTGTATGCATGAGTCTTATCAGGAATGATTGAGACTTGGTCATGAGGAACAGGAAATAGGTCTATATAAGGAGGGCTACGCTTAAGTCTACGCTTACTGTAATTCAACTGTCTAGTATAGCTAGTAGTTAGGTGTTACGAAGTAACACGTGATTTGTCATGTGAGTGATCATTTTGATCATTTTTGAGAAAATGATCAAAATGAGCGCATTAACCAATGACTGACGACTAGGGTATTGATGATTGGTCAGAGCGATCATTCTGATCATTTCGCCAAGAATGATCAGAATGAGTAAGGCAATAAGGATATCAGGAAAGCTGTCTATATAAACGTCCTGTCTCTACTGGTGTTGTGTCTCTTCGTAATTCAACTGTCTAGCATAGCTAGTAGTTAGTTTGAATACCTTCTCATACTTCTGAAGCTCATACCATTCTAAGTCACAAACATAACTATCTTATTATATTCCTTCCTTAATAAGCTCTAGTTATACATTGTCCCCTTGCTCTAGGAAGCTAACCCCTTCCGAAGTGGCTTACATTGGTGAAGCCAGTCGGTATAGGGAGAGTATTCCTAACAAAAGTTGAATTACCGAACCATTGAATAGGGCAAGGAACAATATCTTATGTCTACTGTCTCTAAGAGAAGCAGTGGAAGTCAACAACAGTCTGGTCCACCAAAGAAGAAGGTTGAGGTTACTCCAGGTACCAGTGCTGCTGGGCCATCGACACACAGAGCAGCAGTACCTCCGCCACCTCCGCCACCACCAAGAGATCCGGAAGTCCTACCAGACGCTCAATTGTTTGACGATTCTGATTCATCCGACTCGAATTCTGATTCTGGAAGCGAGAACCTCTTTGACAACGACATGGCTCGACCGAAAGTGAATCCACCTGAACCCTTTAAGGGGGAATGATCCAAATATGAAGCCTTTAGATCTCAGCTTAGGATTTATATTTACTGGAACCAGGATAAGCTCGACTCTGAGGAAAAGAAAGTCATATGTGCTGTGTCCTACTTAAGGGGAAGCGCATACACTTGGATCCAGAGACGGGTTGATCAATACATCTTGAAGAAAGGAGACGTTCCGCACGATATCAAAAGGATCTTCCAGAGCTATTCAGTATTTATGGGAGAAATAGATCAGTACTTTCAGCGAGTTGATGAAGCTCATCTAGCTGAAAAGAAGTTATTGGAACTACACCAAAAGTCAGATGCAAGTTCCTATACGGTCGAATTTGAGAAATGGGCGGCAATTTTAAAATGGAACGACGACGCACTTCGAACAAAGTTTTTTGCAGGGCTCAAACCAGAAGTCAAAGCTCAGCTACGGCTTAGGGAGAAAGAGATATCTACCCTTACTGAGCTCATTGAATCTGCAATTAGGGTCAATTCCATCTTATTTAAAAATAAACTTGACAGGCAAGGAAAGACGCCCAGATACCAACCCAATCACGGGAGACCACGACATTCTACAGATTACTATGGACCGCAGCCTATGGAGATTAATAAGCTCCAGAAAGGCGATCAAGCCCCGAGAAAGCCCAAGAATTTTAAGAAAAATTCGGGAAATTGTTTTAAGTGTGGCCAACCAGGACATTTTGCTCGAAATTGTTCGAAGCCTAAGAAATAATCAATTAAGGCTTTAGGAACTGGCGTGCAAGCACAGAAGATTGCTATGCTTAGGAAAGGCTCTCACAGTACTTACCGTTGGGGACCGAATCAAAACACGGGACCACGGGATGAAACGGCAATTCAGGGAATTTTGGAACGACATCCAGATGTTCGAACGAACATGGCTCATAAGTTCCATT